AGTCAGTAGTTAGTTTTATAATATTAGTATACCTGTAAGTTTATTCATATATTTATATTACGCTTTTTTGTTTACCCCTTAAAATATTGCACACCAAACTACATCGAAATCAGTTAAGCCGTTAGTGTACAATGTTAGAAATATCTTTCATCACAAACTTATGCGTTATGATTTTGTTCGAATTTATCAGCGGAAAGAAATAAATAAACATTAAAAGCTAGTATACTAATATTTAGTTTCAAAAGCTAACAGACAAGACAAATAGAGAAGTTTCTTATTTTTCTAGCGATTATAAAATGCCAGTCCGCATTTTGCTTAGAATGTTTTTCATTTATACAGCGTGCTTAAACATGTGACGGTCGAGTTTTTTGTTTTTGTTCCTCCATTACGCTAATGGAAAGAAGAAGATATATTATCAGTTGTTCGAAGAATTAACGACAACACTATTCTTTGGAACTAAATAAATTAACCGATATATTTGGCGTTTTAAACAGTTAAAATTGGATAATCGCATTGCCAAAACTTTAAATGCAAGAAGGTCTGGGTTCGAATTCCGAGAACATAAAAAATGTAGGCATGCATATAATTTGATTAACTACTTTTCTGTTAATATGATCTTTGAATGAAGACAATCAAATTCGCTTTTTTCCCCATCATGACGATTTTTTTCTCATAATAAATAAAAAATTGTTTGACATTTATGTCTCTTTGTAATAAAAGGAAATTGACTACTTATTATATATCTTATATTTTTAATACGTTAAAGATGTAACGGGGTACGACGAAGTCTTGCAAATAAGTTAGTACATTAGATATCTATTTTTATAACAAAAAAGCACGGGACTCACTCACAAAATAACAATATACAACAAAAGAGAAAAATTGGATGTCAAAGAAAAGATTTGGATATAAATAGTGAATCATTGACGTTCTGTCATGTTCCAATAAAATTCCTCGGATTTCTCTCAGTAATAAGAACTTACTTTATTATTTTCTTCCTTTAGTAAAGTAATACCGTTTTCTTTGTTTCAAAAACGTTGTTTGTTGATAGCAGAAGTATATTTAATAAGAAATCAATTTAGATAAAGAAATAGCCGTATAATATAGTCACTTATATAAAAAATTTCTACGTTAAGTTATATCTCATTAGAACAATTTAATTGTTCTATTACATAAAAAAATATCATAACTTTAATTAAGGGCTTTCTAATAGCTTAATATAATTAATGCCATCATGTGCAGTAACATGTTGGCATTATATTAGTAAAAAATCGATTATAAATTGAAAAAAAATTACGACTCGGTAACTAAATAGGCAAGTGTTAAGGTTGTAAATAAATTGCGCGAGGGGTACAGGTATCAATAGGTTGTAAAAATTCGATAATGACTTGTCGGACTTGGTAGCTCTTATGCTTATAGCCAAAGCTGTAGATGCCGGTTCAAGTTCTGCCCGAGTCGTAATTTTTTTTCTATTATAATCTATTTTTAATTTATAATTTTTTTAAGAACTCTCAAACGTTTCAAGACTAGCAAACGTCGCGTTTATCAAAGCGAAACATTTAATCAGAATTAAATTAGAAGAGAAATATAAATCTCCCTTACAATAATCCGAGCCGACCGGATTGAATTTATAACGAGTCGGAATTTTTACTCATTCATCAAAAGCCTGTTACTCTTAATTAAGAAGCGAGGTTTCATTAGACGGTGAGTTTATGTTCTTAGGGTGCGTCTACACTTTGAGCGGAAAAGCCAGCAACACGCAGCATGGCCAGAACACTATTATGCCGCGCTCTAGTTAGAATAGAATAGGACTCTAATAACAATATCAAGAAGTAAATACAAACATTTCAATTAAATACTACAATATAATTGCCTCTGAAAAGAAAGCCACTCAGCTACGTTGGGACTATTGTCACAGCACTGATATTCTGTGGCCCTATTAAAAGCGAGTTGGTTTGAAATTTTTCTATTAAACTTGAACACTTAACTTAACACTTATACATTGAAAATATAATAAACTATAGTCTTAAAAACAGATAACAACAATACTTTCCCTTAAGATACATGCTAGTTCAGATTTAATAAATTAGTTAAAAGTTAGGACAATCCGATGATTGTTGGCGCGGCGCTATGCGAGACATGCCACGCATTTGTTTAAGCCTAAAATACAATGAAAACGTGTATCAGTGTTTTAGCTCCACATATTATTAGAAAATTATGGAGAAGTATTAAAAAAAACATAACAAAACAGGAACATTCTGGATGAAACCAGATTTCATTGTCCACTTTCGATAAGCGCAAACAAGTCCGGGGACGGCAACTGACAAACAATTTTTGCGTTCGTAGTTCGCATCTCGCTCTATGTCTGTCCGCACCCTTACAAGGGCGAAGGAATCTCTGTCCCTTAGTGGGGACGGATTTGATGTACAAGGGTTAATCCGAGATTTCTCACGACCTTCATATATGTACATAGTCTGTAATTTGATATAAACTTTGGTGCTTCAAAATATAGCTGGCGTCTTATATTTGACTAGCTGATCAGACAACTTTGTTTTGTTGTTTGTAAGTAATATTACAGTAATGATGGGTTTATATAATTAATTAAGAGAAGATTTATCGACGAAGGTTTTAGGCTATGAAACATCACGATGCGTCCAATAGGACCGAAATTAATAAAAATGTAGAAAAAGTAATAATCTTTTAGTTTCCGTTTAAGTCACCCAAAATAATCACCTTTAAACGATGTAAAAAAATGTCCGTGAGGGTATGTCTATCTTTTAAGATTAACTTGCACGATGACCGAAGTCTTTGATAACTGCTATAATAATTTATAAAGAGAAGGAGGTTTGCAAAAACAAATTTGTTACCCAAAAGTTATTTCTACACTGTATATTATAATAGTTATATGTAGCGACTTTGTCTGTGTAGAATCACTGACGAAGTCGCTAGCAGTGTGTTACAGTCGCTTTCAAATATTGAAACGGTTTGAAATTAAACATTTACGCGATTTAAAACGTGATATATTTGTTAAAGTTATATGAAAATTATTTTAAATACGGCCCGACGTTTCAAATGCTTTGTAACAGCCGTGGTCACGCGGAGACGAAATTCACGGCTGCTGCAAAGCGAAACGAGTATTATTTATATGTAAACTCGCGTAAACTACAGACAGTATTTAGCAACGTTTTATTGTAGCCGACTGTACGCATTAGCCACTATGTATGTAAGTATTTAACTATAGGACAAACCGCTTTTAATCTCTTACCGTTTTTACCAGATATCCGCGCCATTTCAGGTTGAACAAACACGCTGTGTATGTTTTGTGGGTGTTTGCATTCGGTTTGTGTAATCATTACACGGTTGTTTGCAGGTCACTCGGGACGAATCCTCTGCATGTGTGTGACTCGCGAGTCGCAGTATTTGCTCACGGGATCCGAAGACACAAGTGTCATTGTTTGGGATCTGCACACACTCGCTGTTAAGACCAAAATACTGTGAGTAAACGTGCCGGCGGCAGAGCTATATCTTCGGGCTTTGGTTTCTATTGTTAATTTTTGGGGTATGGCCACTCTTTGTGTATGGCAATCATGGTTATTCATTAGAAAACATGTTTAGATTATCTAGGAAATACGGGGGGCAAGTGTAGAAAGGGGGGGGGGATGTAACATTAAAAAATATGTGTATAAATTTGGTGTAGTACCTTTTCAATTAATAGTAAAAATTACACATTGATTAAAGCTGGAGCTATAATATTGAGTTTAAAAAGATTAATATTGTTTAAGCTTCTATGAATCATATAAATGAACATATACATATATGTCATATACATATTTAGATTGAGATAATTAAGACTGGGATCTTGAAACGGCACCCACAACGTTCTGTGGCTGCTACTCTAACCAATTGGGCTACCGTGTCCCATGTCTAAAATATTTTGTCAATCATAACAGTTCTTAAATTAAAAAAAGTCAAAATAGAAAAGTTTACTTCGCATCTACGACTCAAAATAGCTCAATATCTTCGTGAAAATATTCACTGAAAGACAGTTATAAACAAAACACAAACACATGATAATCTAGTACAATATGTTTATATTATATTTGCTATTATAAGACTATATTGTGTCAATAGTTCCCTCTATTTACCAATGCCGTAATTAATTAATTAAATCCATTGAATTTCAGTAATACGTCTAATTACTTTGCGCAGTCAGATTGTGGTATAACATTTCAATATCTCTATTAATATTAAATGAAGATCCAGAACTAAAAGCTAATCAACATAATTACTAAGCTGTTATTGCTTTATGAGATTTCCATCTATTAATTCATTTAAACAATTACAACGAAATGTCTTGTGGCTTCAAACAGCTGAATTGGGAAAGGATCCTTTGCCATACGCCATGCCTAGCTGTGTCAGCGACTTCTTCCGCAAGAATCATTATTTTGGTCATTCAAATTCCTCTTCATCGTTATAAATTTAAACTGCTATCCTACATTGACATCGGACGCTGCCCGTCGCTCGGGACCCGTCGTTCTTGCAAGTTACTCTTCAAAGATAGACATATAGTGTTGCATATATCGTTCTGTCACATATATTTTTTGGGTATCATGAACCGTTTTGGCAGCGTACGCATCGGAAACCCACAAAAATTAAAATTTTTCTCCCTTTTTTTTCGTATTACCCTCAGCTTCTTTGCAACTATTAGTTACAGCTCGATGATTTATAGCCTTCCTCAATAAATGTTCCAACTAACACAAAAATAATTCAATTCGAACGAATAGTTCCTGAGATTAGCGCGTTGAAACAAACAACTTCAGCTTTATATATTAGTATAGATTTCGACCAATTTTGATTGCAATACAAACGGTTCTCATGAGTTAATTTTGAAAGACAGATTTATACTTTCCTAGATGTGTTTTTAGATTTTTTCAAGAATATTCAGAAAATATATATTCTTCATATATATTTTCTGAGCATCTTAACCGTTTTCATAGCACAGGCAAAGGAAGTCCTCAAAGATATATATTTTCCCGTTTTTTTCCACATTTCACACTGTTTCTACTCTTGTTTTGGTCGCAGCCTAATAATTTATAGCGTAAAGCCGATAAAAGCCTAAAGATCTTTTCAATTCGAACCAGTAGTTCATAGATCGGCGCGTTTAAATTTTGTGAAATAGATTTATCCGCGTATAAAATTAATTTTTTGCTAGTGGTTCTAGGAATTCTGCGTCCGATTAAGTGACAATAATTTTCAGACAGTATTTTATCATACTTGGGGGGGGGGGGGGGGGGGGGGGGGGGGGGGGGGGGGGGGGGGGGGGGGGGGGGGGGGGGGGGGGGGGGGGGGGGGGGGGGGGGGGGGGGGGGGGGGGGGGGGGGGGGGGGGGGGGGGGGGGAAAAAAAAGGGGGGGGGGGGGGGGGGGGGGGGGGGGGGGAAAAAAAAAAGGGGGGGAAAATAATGGTTCCCGGGGGGGGGGGGGGGGGGGGGGAGGGGGGGGGGGGCCCCCCGGGGGGGGGGGGGGGGGGGGGGGGGGGGGGGGGGAAAAGGAGGGGGGGGGGGGGGGAGCGGGGGGCCAAATAAAACACTTTAACGGTTTAAAACGCGACATATTAGTTAAACTTATGTGAAAATGATTTTTAACTTCGGCCCGACGTTTCGGATGCTTTGCAGCAGCCGTGGTCACGGGGAGACTAATATATCGCGTTTTAAACCGTTAAAGTGTTTTATTTAAATGTGTACTACTCGCGTAAACGATAGACAGTATTTAATGCTTTGTACTTTTTAGGGAGCACATAGCGCCAGTGTTGTGTGTAGCTGCCATTGTCAATCGTTCACTGGTTATCAGTGGGGGTGAAGACTCTGCTGTAATTGTAACATCAATAGTTGATGGTGCTTTGGTAAGTTTTAGCACGTATTTTAGCTATAGGTAAAATACTTGTTTAGATGTTATATGGCTGGAGGTGTTCACCTACCATCAAGTCAATCCTCCTCTATCATAAAAAACAGAACTTCCACCAGATACCAGGGAAATTTTTATTAGGTCACACAACTAGGGATGTTAAGAAAATAACCATACAAAGACATAGTTTTTTTTTATGATAGCAGAGAGAGAGAGAACAGACGAGCATGATGTTCACTTAATGGAAACTTAAATATTCAAGCTATATAACATCTTAACGAGGTGTACCTGTATTTTGGCTTTGAATATTTGGAAATCCACAGACTAAAACCGAAACATAAATAAACTTGATAGGTTTTAAATCTGTGGACGGTGTTTTGTCACCCGGACAAAGTTTTTGATATTACTACCACCCGTTTAATATTAAGATATCCAGACGAAAAATATAAATTGATGAGAAGTATATTGGACCCAGCGGGGATCAAACCCACACCATAAGATTAACGAGCCCGCTAAAATATAGAAAGTATTTCAAAATTAAATCTTGCTTTCATCCATAAGTCTAAGAATTGCTTCTCAAATCGTGAACAACTGAATTACATTGTATTAATTTGCTTCTCAGAGGTACCGGGTTTGAATAACCAAATTAAAATATCACCGGTCTTGACACACAAGTAATAAGTAATTAGTTAATATCAAACAAATACTGTCTATAGTTTACGCGAGTGGTACGCATTTAAATAAAACACTTTAACGGTTTAAAACGCGATATATTAGTTAAACTCGTGACCACGGCTGTTGCAAAGCATCCGAAACGTCGGGCCGAAGTTAAAAATCATTTCCAAATAAGTTTAACTAATATATCGCGTTTTAAACCGTTAAAGTGTTTATTTAAATATCAATCAATAGAAATTAAGAAGTGGTTAAAAAATAATGTTAGTAAGAAGTTTTAAAATTTCAAAGTTCTTTTTTTCAAATGTCCTGAATATTTTCCCCTTTTCCACAGGTGACAAAACTGGATCACCACCGTGGACCTGTGACGTCTGTGAAGGTGATTCAAGATGGCGATATCCTAGTCACGGGGTCCCAGGATGGGACAGTGTGCACCTGGAGTGTGGACAACTTTGTCCTCCTCAGCACCATATCTGCTGGTGTACCAATTCATATCATGGCCGTGACAGAAGATAACGTGTTCCTGATCACGTTGCAGGGGGAAAACGAATTACACTTACGGACCTTTATCACTGGAACATACTTGCATCCCTTGAAACGGCATAAGGCAAAGGTTTGTATTGTTGACTAGCTGTGCCTGTGACTTCGTTGGCGTGGAATAGTTATTTTGGCAATTGTATTTATTTTTGACAACAACTTCCTCAGCTTTATAAATTATAGTTGTTCTTCACGACTTCTTTCAAAAATAAATAAAAGATACACATATAATGTCGGCCACTTTTCTTTAGGTCATTCAAAAAAAGAATCATCAGTCACTGTTTTTCCTCATGAAGCTTTCAAAGACGAATACTTTTACCCATTTTTTTCACATTTCGCTCCTATTGGTCACAGCCTAATGTTATATAGCCTAAAGCCTTTCTCAGTAAATGGTCTAATTAATATGAAAAAAAATCGAATCATTTTTTTTTTAATATTAACACGTACAAACAAACAAACTTTTCATCATTATGACATTAGATGGTAGAATACAACACTGAACGCTAACTCTAAGTTAGCGTTCAGTGTTGTTAAGATTAAATAGCTCTAATTAACAAAGATTATGTTTAAATAAAACACGGAATGTCTCCCCGTGATCACGGCTGCTGCAAAGCATCCGAAGCGTCGGGCCGTAAGTAAAATAATTTTCAAATAAATTTAACTAATATCTATCTCGTTTTAAACCATTAAACCGTGTGTACTACACGCGTAAACTACAGACAGTATTTAAAGATTGTTAATAGAACTCAGCATACCTATTTCACTAACCTATTAGTGATCAAATAGATATGAATAGCCTTTGAAATGTCTTATAAGCATCGTAAAAAGGTTCTAATTACTTACAACTTTAATTAGATCGCCTTTTCAGTTACAGTCTACTTTCATTAATTAAGTTTCGTTCCTTTGTGTTGAATGATATTGTATAGAGATAAGCTCGTATTGAATTAACGCGTTGATGTTATCAAAGAAAGCGAACAACAATATTGTTTTATAGGGCTTTTGTACCCAAAGGATAAAAAATAATTTGTGCTATCATGTGTCGTATGTGAAAACTATTTTTTTTTTAACTGTAAAAAATGTATAAAAAATAAAATTATCAATAACAAAGTTAAAGAGTGATTTTCATGACATCGTCTGCGAGAATCGTTTATTTTGGACATCCAAATTTGTTTTTGCAAACCTCTTCATCTTTATAAACTTAGGCAGGTCGGTCGCGTCCCTTCCCATCGTTCTTGCAAGGTAATGTTAAGAGGTAGACATATAGCGTCGCGGACTTGTTTTTAGATCATTTTAAGAGAAATAATTCCTCTCTACATATTTTTTGGATATCTTGAAGCATTTTTGCACTATACCACCCATAATAATGATTTTTTTTTTCACATTCCTCGCTGTATGTAGCTTGTATTAGTCAGAGGGCGGTGTTCTATATCGTACAGCCTTCCTCGATAAATGCCAACACAAAATAATTTTTCAATTCGAACCCGTCTTTCCTGAGATTAGCGCATTCAAACAAACAAACTCGTCAGCTTTATATATTACTATAGATGGAATATAATTAATCTAACAAAACACAAGTATTTAAAATTTAAACGGACTGACAAAATGATGACTACCTTTTGGGTCCGCTGTCGAGTAAAGGGATTTTGAATTGTCGGTCCCCCGTGGCCTCCATAATTGGGGATCACCGATGTGTTACTTACACATTGCTGGATAAAATAAATTGGCGTCGATTCCCCATAAGTGCCCCGGGTCCCTCCGGTTTATTGCATTTAACGCGATGTAGTGATAACTGCTCTATTTGGGCTCGTCATTTATTGAGACATTTTCATTGGGTCATTTTTGCTTTGACATATTACTATGGGTTAAACTATTAAAACAAGTCACCTTTGTAGCTTTGACACAGGCTCCCTAAGAGGTAATTATAGGCCTTAATCTAGACATTAGCAAAACTTTGAACGCGAGACCTCTTAACGCGACAATATTTATTTATTTATTTATTTATTTAATCATTAAAATTAATTTATAAGGTGGAGCCCAATTCACATTATTAAAAACTAAATTAAATATAGATTAAATTATACTATGATTATAACTAACTATTAATAATATTAAATATGCTTATTTAAAATCTTATTTTAAATATTTACTTTCCAATATATATATATTTCCAAATTTGATATAAAACGTAAGAAGAGTTCATTTCTACGTAGTAAATATGTTACGTATTATTCCTAGTTAATGCGAGTAGTATACGATAAAATGAGACATTTTTAACGGTTTAAAATGCAAAATATATTAGTTGACGACGTCACGGCTGCCGTGGTTATCTTCGACGACTTCAAAATTATATTGAAATAAAACATTATACACACAATAAAACAATGATATGCGAAGTGTTAACCCTTTTACGATATATTTTAACTACGGCCCGCATTTCCCCCGTGATAACGATTTTTGTATAGCATCCGACACGTTGAGTACTTCTAACTTATACTATATATGAAGCTGAAAAGTTTGTTTGTTTGAACGTGCTAATCTCAGGAAAGACGGGTTCGAATTCTTTTTGCATTGGTTAAAGAATTTATCGAGGATGACAATAGGTGCACTGTGACTAATAAAAGCAAAGATACAGGGGAAATGTAAATATAACTGGGGAAATTTTTCATATCTGTGGGTTTCAGATGAGTACGCTGCGAAAACGGTTCAAGACACCCAAAAAACATGTCCACAATACTATATGTATATCTTTTAAGATTAACTTGCAAAAACGACAGGACCCGAGCGATGTCGTGCGCAGCTTAAATTTATAAAGATGGTTAAAGAGGTTTGCAAAAACAAATTTGGATGCCCAAAATAACTACCTACTCTACGCGGACGAAGTCGCTGACACAGCTAGTATATTGTATAACCGTTAAAGTAATTTAAATGTGTACTACTAGTCTAAACAACAGACTATTACAGACACTAACACTTATAATTAAAATAAGAATTATATATATCTTTTAACTAATTTTAAATACGTATTTAAATGACATTATATTTATTAAATACTGTCTACAGTTTACGCGAGTAGTACACATTTAAATAAAGCACTTTAACGGTTTAAAATGCGATATATTAGTTAAACTTATTTGGAAATGATTTTTAACTTCGTCCCGGATGTTTCGCAGCAGCCGTGGTCTCCCCGTGACAACGGCTGCTGCAAAGCATCCGAAACGTCGGGCCGAAGTTAAAAATCATTTCCAAATAAGTTTAACTAATAAATCGCGTTTTAAACCGTTAAAGTGTTTTATTTAAAAGTTATATTTATTTCTTTTTCAAATGATCTTACGTACGAGTTCATCTAAATCTGCTTCACATGGATACAGCTCGTGGTATACATGGTTGTTTTAACTACTTTCTTTATTACCAACTCTATCATAACACGTGTAGATTACTCTTTTTCGGCTGCGAGACCTCGTTAGCATAATGTGCGACACGGATGTTATTGAGTGGCGGTAATGCCCTTTTTATTGTCGCTTTATACAAAAACTGATGACAAATTACTATAGCCCTGAGGTGGTTACAAAGTGCGTTGCAATTTGATAGGACTTATAAAACTACACGAAAAATAATTCTATAATGTAACTTACAATGTGTGTGAACGAAATATTTTTTTATACTAGAGAAGGTTAAAGCCTGGATTTTGCTTTGGCTTTCACGGCCATCGTTAAGCATATCATTGTTTTTCGGGCTGTTCGGTCGACGCGAGCGAGAAGAGGCTCTCGACGTGTCGCCATTAAGAGCGGACGTCATTATCAGGAGCTAACAACGTTGAGAACCCTTTTCGCACAATGATATGCTAAGCCTGGATTTTACTTGATAGTTCATAAAATACTACAGCTATATAATGTTTGAACTAGGTACGTTGTTGAACTTTTTGCTTTAGATATCCGGAAATCCACAGACGGCCGTGTCATCTGTGGACGGTAGTTCGTGACCCGGACGGAATTTCTATTATAGCACTACTGATTTAAGTAAAACACTTTAACAGTTTAAAACGCGATATATCAGTTAAAATTATTTGAAAATGATTTTTAACATCGGCCCGACGTTTCAGATGCTTTGCAGCTGCCGTGGTCACGGGGAGACGGGGAAACGTCGGGCCGAAGTTAAAAATCATTTTAAATAAGTTTAACTAATATATCGCGTTTTAAATCGTTAAAGTGTTTTGTTTAAATGTGAACTATACACAGTATTTAGTATCTCTGAATTAATATCTAGGATTTTCAGAAGAGAGTCCAACATCTTTTAACAGAAACACCACGGGGTTAGTCTCCACCTTTGGACGAGTCCAAAGGTGGAGACTGACCCCGCATTCGGTGATTATCAGACATACATTGCTACCACTAGACCAGCGAGCCCGTAAATAATGTTAATTACTTGGATCTAATTAAATAAAAAGTAACTCATGTCCTTAACTCCGAAGAGTGGTAGACTCCCACTGTCTAGCTGGTTAGTTCCTAGTATTAACGAAATATTTATTCGAATACAATGTCTATAGGTAAAATGCTTCTGCGTTGCCCACGATTCTTCACGTGCCGCCGTTGCTTGCACTGATCAGCGAATCTACATATACAGCCTGCACAGCGGGCAGCTGCTGCGCACTCTATCTGCAGCGCATGATATTGCCGCACTTGCTGTTGCTGATCAGGATCATTTTCTACTTGCTGCCGGTTAGTTACAATATAGATTTGATTTTTTGTGTATACAGTATGTTATATGAAATTGATGCTATCTTGTTGTATCAAGAAATTTCTTCAAAGCACAATATATTGTTAAATCGACGAAACAGGTGGCGCTAGCGTAGCAGATTTGATTTGACTCAGACATTATGGACACCTTCCATGTTCAGCCTTTGCGCCGTGCTCGCGAATGGAAAGCATTCGGAACGTTGGCCATAGTTAAAATCATTTAAAATATGTTCACGAATATATTTCGCGTTTTAAACCGTTTAATCTGTTTTATTTTAATGTATTCTCGTGTAAACTTTAAATAAGGCTTAGTATTTTTTTTTAATTATTTACATGTTAATCCTTATCTATATATATACAATATGCGATAGGAATCCATTAAGTAAATAAACGTACAAATAAATTTAAAATACACGGTTGACTTGTAACCAAAAATACCGTGTTTCCATTCGCCTAATGGAAGCGATTTCGTGTTTGTTTTTTATCAAATGTTTCAGTTAAAATGCTGCAGTGCGGATAAATGTTGAAATGTCAACGTTATCTTTGTGCTCAACTGTGCCAATCCATATGCATATTGCCTAGCTCGTTCTCCGACTTTGTTTTCAAGTTTTTTTGTTTATTTGTTTCAATTTTTGCGTAGTTCAATTATTAAATTTAAATGAATGAAAAGTCCAAAAAACATATTCATAGTTTTGAGATCACAGTTACTCCTAATTAAATACCATATCATATCAATAAAACACATTTAACGTTACACGTTAAAGTTTGACTATTTACAATTTCATTTAACCACGACCCGACGTTCCGGAATCGTTTAAAACCGTTAGCAGTTTTTTTAAATTGTGTACTCTACACGAGTAGTACACATATACAAAACTGCTAACAGCTTACTACAGACAATACTTACCATATCATATCTTTTGCAATTGTATCATATATATGAGGCCGCCAGAGGCATAGTAGCCTAACTGCAGTTTTATGACTTGACTTATTTATATTTTTATAGTCTAAAAATGTTAATCTACAAGAGCACAGTGACCGAAAGTTGTTAACATAATTTTTACACAAATAATAGTACTTATTCATTTTCGCCTAAGTTAATTGCGCATTTTTATTTTCCTCATTTTTGAAAATCATGTATTTTGTTATTAGGCTACTCCGCCTCTAGCAGCCTATTATTTTCGACAATATTAATAACAAATGTGAAATTTCAGGCGGCAATAGGGTGACCATATATTCATTCGACACAGAGGACCATCTGACAAACTTCAGGCCTACAAAACAGCTGAAGAGACGACAAACAAAATCAACTACCAATATTTCCATGTTACAGGTAATATTAATAATATTTTTTACTAATACAATAATGACTTAAGTGAATTTTGTATTATCTACTGTAGCCTTAGTTAGGTACAGTAACAGATACTTGGCAATCTACAATTAAAATATTAGTTATAAAAATATTTAGCAAATTATTATTTTTCGGACTATTTTGTATTACATAATTCTTCGAGCAATCGAGGAGCTAACATCTCCTGATGATGAACCTCTTCTCGCTCACGTCGGCCGAACAGCCCGAAAAACAAGGATATTCTGAACGATGGCCGTGAAAGCCTTACACAATTTATTACTTATAAAAACACCTTCGAAAATCTTAAATGGTCGCTGGTTTGAGTCCTGAGCTAAAAATGTTTAATATTATTATTATATTAAGATGCACTGTCGACTTATTTGGTCTTGGATATTCTGAAATGCACAGAATGATATCGAAACGCGACTAAACTTAACGGCCTTTTCACTTTTGGATGGTGGTTCGTGATCCGAACGGAATTTCATATTTACTACCACGTATTTAATATCCAGATTTCCAGACGAATTCAAAGCCGACGAGTAAAAATATATATTTTGTTCTATGCAGTATTCGTTCAATGTCTGTATATTCTACGACCGCCTTTGTAGCTAAATGGTTAACGTGTTGCCTAGCAGTGCGTTAAGCGTGAGACGGGTCACGGGAAACAAATTTTTTGTCAGGCCCCGCGAAGGGAAACGAGATATCAATTTATGCTAATAATATTATGGTTATAATATAATAATAATATTATACCCATAATATAATGATACCACAAAAGATTTAAAATTAAATGTGTCAAAAATACTTCAAAGCGTCTTATACAATAATTCGATTTAACTCTCCAGCGGACGCGGATAAACAAAGCGATCTAGAATCTAGAAAGGCGTCCAATAAGGTCAAGTGTCTAACGCGAGAAAACCCCTCAATCACAGACGAGCTCTCTAACGTTAAGCTATCGAGCTTTAACTCGGAACACGTATAACCCCTCAAATACCCACTCACAGAATTCAGGACGACTTAAAATGCTTTGCCGATACCCGAAACACTTACACGATTTTGTTTACCACGGACATTGACCTTTCGGACCTTTGTATATATAGTATTTTAAATTTCATCCGAAATATTACTATACTAGCTGATTTAGACAACGTTCTTTTGTTTGCAACACTAATATTATGTTTATATAACACTAACAAATAATTAAGTCATATAAACTGTGCTGGCGATTTGACTTAAAAAATAGACTTATAGTCTTGTGGACATTTTTTAGATAATTAAAAGAGGAATCATTTGTATTGATATATTTATGGAGTCACGGTTGATTAATGATCCCCGTGTTTCTTAGATTAGCGCGTTCGAACAAATGAACCAACAAACGAACTCTCGCTTTATAAATATAGATACATTGGGTTATTAATTATAATTATATATTATTTCAATCAAAGTCGTTGTATTTACTAAGACTTTAATTTGTATTTACCCTCCATTTAAACATGTAGGTAAAATGTGTCGTAAATAATTTAAAAGCCGTTCAATACATGTAATTTACTAATGGTAGTAAATTAAAGTAGATTCAAGACGTAAAACAAAAGAACATCAAAATAGCTTTTAGCCTGTAGTTTATAACAATATGATCAAGATACCAATTATTTAAATAAAAACTAACTAGCACACGTAATATATTTTAATTAATAAAGTTTAATCTAGAAATAGTTCAGGTTTTATTGGAATATCCTTCCACGAGTTTTCCGATCAATGTGATAGTAAAATTTTTCCAACAAATTTTTCGAGTCGCCGCCCGACGCTGATCGAATTCATCTACAATTAAATTGTTTGCAATAACGTTCCAATTTTTTTAGTTTTCGTAACTTTGTGTGTGTGTTCGTTGACGTCAGTTTAAAAATGTCGTTTTTATCACCGATTTCTTTTATTTTGCCATACTAGACGTTTTAGAAATTACAAAGCTATAAATTAAAAAAAAACGTATACCATGCAATTCCTACCGGCATCTTGGTCGTAAGATCGATCGCGTCGGATAAATAATTCACCTGTAAACGAAATAATAGTAGAAATTTTTTGACAGACTCGTAGTATCGGTAGCGATGTTTGGCTAATACCACGGACATCCCGACCGGGTCCAACATCAATTTATGATTTTTATGAATATATTGAAATTCCGTCCATGTCACGAACCACCGTCTACAGACGAACAGAAAAAGTCGCGAACTTTAATCGCGTTTCGGTTTTAGTATGCGAATTTCGAATATAAAGAGTATGTTTAGATGTTATATGCTAGGGCGTATTTCTCCCACCATTAAGAGAAACCCATACAGAGGAGAGAAAATCTTCTCTTCTATGATAAAAAATCACGTAATTTGTTCAGACCCTATTTAATTCTTCATTAAATATATACCGAAATTCTCAAACACTCAATTTAAAAGTAAATGAAACAAAACACAAAGTAAAAGAACGCCAAATATGTATGTACTCAATCAAATAAGACTGAATTCATAAGGAGCGGCATGAAAATTCTTTCCAAGTTATTCAACCATTTTTAATGAAAAAGTTAATTTTACGATTCGTAAGTAATGTTTCGTCGTGGTTTGTCACTTGGTTTGTATTATATAAAAATTTGACTTATGAAAGTCTATTTAACCAAATAACTTATATTTATTCTTATAGACTTCTTCCGCGTAGAATAGATATTTTGGCGATCTTGAACTGTTTTCCTAGCGGACGCAACGGAAACTCGCAAGGATAAATAATGTTCCCCGTTTTTTTTCCATATTTCTCGCTGTTTTTTCGCGACCATTTGCACGGCGCATTTTTTTCTAGTCCATAGCCTTCCAAGATAAGTCTCTATCAACACAAAATTATTCAATTTGAACCAGTAGTTCCTGAGATTAGCGCGTTCAAACAAACAAACTCTTCAGCTTTATATATTAAAATATAGCTGCATTTAAATCGACTTTTATTGTTGATTGTTTTATTTCCATATTTTTATTTCTTAATATCCTATTTTTTCATTTACGAAACCCTTCACAGCATATTCAGTTAAGGTATCTGATTCAGGCGGAACAGAGTGAGCTGATACCGATTAGCTGCCTCGAAGTATCAAGAGATGGCCAGCTCGCTGCCAGTGGCTGCGCGCGCGGTTTGGTCCGCGTATGGCAGTTGTCCACGCATCGTCTACAAGCCACACTAAATGGGCATATTGGGCACATAACATGTGTCACGTTCTCCCCCAACAATCTTTTGGTCCTCAGCGGGTCTGAGGACAGGACGGTGGTCGTATGGCAACTGGCTGATAATTCTTCGTCTTTGACTTATAAGGTAAGCTAATAACGTTAGGTTCTAGGGCCAAATTACCTTGCACAAAATGTATACAAGATTGAAATTCTGATAGATCTACCAGATAAGGTAGCTCAATTTCTAGTGGGACATACTCCGTTCTGGGTTAGATGCCCATTTTCTCAATTTGAATTAAAAGATGGCGTCACCTTTGTGTTTCGAAGAGTAAGTTAAGTAACCGTCAGACCCGGTTGTCACCACTTTAGTGTGTGAGTGGATTATGGTTATTAATTTGTTTTTTATATTTTTAGTACTAAGCGATTCTTCAATACGATTGTGAAAAATGAAAATTTTAAAAAATTGTCGGCAATTCTTAAATATTAAATAGGATCCTTTAAAATTCACAGTCGAACTAACTTTGTAACTTACCAGCGAGCTGACACGCCTTCAAATAGTTTTAAAGTTATTGAAGTAAGAAGACGGCTTTTTGTTAGAGCTACGACCACTTAGTTTCTGAGAAGTTATTTTCATTACACAGATAAGTCAACGGACAGTTAGTAACTTATATTTGTGTTTAACTGGAAGGTGGCCTTCACTAGAAAACATTTTTTAATTATTGTTACAATTTCGCCAATTTAAAGATATAAGGCAACTAAAATGTCGGATCATAGTTTAAAATTTCCCCAGCCTTTTTCCTCAAGCGTTTTCAGCCGTTAAAAGTGGTCCTATTTATTAAAATTTGTCATGTCTTGTTTGTTACACATTTAACAATCCGTTGATGTGTTTAAATTTAAACATGACGATATGTGTAATTTTTATCGACTACAATCTAAATGCTTAGGGTCTATTTCAAGTGTTAAGTATTTATTTGATATATTGAATTATAAGCTATATATATATATATGAACTTTAAAAGCTCTAATTTTCCGCTGGACAATTCGAGGCTCGACAGAACCGTTCTGAAAGTATTCTCAATAAGAAACTTTTAATGATGAAAACCGAATAGGTTCTGCGAGGCATTCCGAAAATACTTCATGTAAAGAATGATTCTTGACGCTTTCAAAAGCCACAACAAAGGAAGGGCTTTTCGGAATCGTTAAGTGTTCCTTTGTTGTAACGTCGAGAGGAGGAAAAATCGTCTCAAACACTGCCTTTGCCTAAAACTTTACTTATTAGAAAACTTTTGTAAGCATATGTGGATTGAGTTTTCAATAGGCAAACCAAAGGTGTGTTTTAATATTTAGAAAAGACAGCAATCCTTATTCTTTAAATAAAACATTTTCAACGGTTTATAACGCGAAATATATTCGTTTACTTATTTTTACTACAGCGCCACGTTTTGGACACTTAGCAGCAGCCGTGGTCACGGGCACGGGGCATGCAAAACTTCGTTCCGTAGTTTAAACAAATTAAATAAAAGTTTATATTAAACACTTTTAACGGTTTAAAACTCAAAATGTATTAGTTTTTTTATTTATAATTGATTTAACTACAGCAAAACGTTTTGGACGCTTTGCTGGAGGCGTGGTCACGAGGGTACTGCAAATAAGTTATAACTAATCAATTTCGCTTTTTTAACAGTTAAAGTTTTTTATTTGAATTCTATACTAGTCTGTAAACTATAAACAATCCATACTGTTTTAAATTATTTTGTAGCTTTATCAAACACGTTATTACGAACCAATATTAAAGACGAAAATTTTATACTACCGGAATAGCGACGTTATTCCGACAAACTATGCACATCTTTACAAATATAATATTTATAAAATTTATGCTAGCAATCTCAAATGTATATCATTGTAATTGAATAACAATATTATGAAATGTCGGTCATTTGTCATTTTTTTAACTTGGCTTTTTAATTTATGAAATTTGGAGAAAACATTTAATTATTTACAATATTTAGCAGTGATTATTGTTTTAGGGACACACAGCGGCTCTACAAACCCTATTGATGATGTCCGACGGTCGTCGGGCCATGTCCGGGGACCGGTCTCGTAACGTCCACGTCTGGTTGGTGGATTCTGGCATCGTTCTACACTCCGCAAGCTGTCCCAGCTCAAGTATTGACGTCACTCTTAACATGAAGTATGCGGTACGTATTTGACGGGCACGTTGGGGTAACTATAGCAATGTATGGCTAATAATAATCAACGGGTCGTTGGTTCGATATCCATCGGAGCAATTTTTCTAATTAACTTATAATCTCAATAATAAAAAAAATATTTTCTCCAAAATAATCTACTTACAAAGTATTGCACATCAAAATTCCATTTTAAATTTAAAAACAAAGCGATTTTCAATTGTTAGTACCAGTATCATTGTGGTCTTGGGTTTTGCCATTGCCGATATTTATTTTTGAATTTAAAATAGAAAAGCCGACTTTTTTTTCCTTTTTTTTGCTTTTTAGTAAGCAATGTATAACAGTTTATTTTTTGAATACTATATGCGTTTAAATAAAACACTGACGGTTTAAAACGTGATATAGGCGTGGTCTACAGCTGTGGTCACGGGGAGACTGTCTTCCCGTGACCACGGCTACTGCAAAGCATCCGAAACGTCGGGCCGAAGTTTATAATTATTTTCTAATAAGTTTAACTATTATAACGCGTTTTAAACCGTTAAAGTGGTTGTGAGAAAGTAGTTTACTATAATTAAAGGTTCTTTCCGAGGGCGACAACTCGGTTCGTATCTGGGCACTGACAGAAGGAGACAGCGGCGACGAGAAAAGATCAGTGTCGCACGCTGAACGAATCACTTGCTTCGCGCTGACTGCTGATTCTCAGCACGTTGTCACTGGATCCATGGATATGTCGCTGAAGGTCTGGAAACTGGATGGCGGGAAGTTATCGCAAGTAAGTTAAATTTGAATCAACTCACGAATATTCAAAAGCAGTTCTTGGAACAATTATTTAGCCTTCCTCTAAAGATAGGATTCACTCACGATGGCTATAAATTAATAAAAAAATACAGCTCGACAGGACTTGAAATGGCATCCATAGTTTGTTTCCGTGCTGTTGCCACCTGAGCCACCAATCGAGCTACCGCGTTCTACACGTCATTGACGATTTTTTTCTACCTATTAAAACATGTACCTCTCACGCGGTTTATTTCCCGTCCGCGTTGTACAGTGCTATCATTAAAGTTTTCAAACGTCGAAACTTCTAGAAGTATTTTCTCAATTACGTCGGGCTGTACAAAAACAAGCAAGTAGGTAGAAGTCTTCTTCTATTTTAAGGTTAAAAATCAACGAAAATAGGTCATCGTCTTCCCATTTCTATGTTCTTTTATATGCATCTCGCTGTCATAAAAACACTATGACAACAGAATGATTCGTAGCGGCACGATAAATCTTCATAAAATTTTTATTGATTGTAAATACGACTCCGCTGATTAAACTCTCAACGCGCAATAAAAGACGCCTCTGCTACTAACATAAAACCTTATTTATGGGAGGTTAAACATTTGATGGTTAATTTTGCATGGACAATAATTACCCATTTCGTTTTTTAAATATTTCTCTTGCGTCACAGGTAAGTTGCAACGAATATATCTAGACGCCATCTTGGAAAAAGTCAATATTTAATTTGAAAACCGCAGATATCTTTAACATTGTGATTCAATGAGACACAAAAGCATCAGAATTAACAGTAGTTGAAAATTTATTTTACTGCTGTATTTAGTTTTTACCTGTTGTTACGTTCATAAATGTGCTATACATATCTACTTACATGAATATATGACTTGATTACTTTGACCGCCTTTGTAGCCAAATTGTTAAACATCCATTCCAATACCAGGGAAACAATAGTTATCACACTGTCCGTGTACTGTCATTTTGATGGACTGTATTTTAGCTATAAAGTACATTCGTACTAAATTCCATCGAAATTGATTTAGCCGTTTAGCCCCAAAATAAAATCTAAAACTATATTAAAATCAGCGTGTATTAAATGTAGGACGATGCTGAACTTCTTATCAATTTTTTTTCAGGTGCTAGTAGGACATTCCGATATAGTGACTTGTGTAGCGGTATCAATCACGAACAAGACCCAAGTTGTATCTGGATCTTGGGACTGTAACCTTATAGTGTGGGACATAAATACTGGGACCGATTTGCATCTACTGTCGGGTCATTTGGGTAAAGTCACGTGCGTGAAGGTCACAGGAGACGGGTCTATTGCTGTGTCGGGTGAGTAATTGTTATAACTTTTAACGGAAAACCTTTTCGTGTTTGCAATATTTGACAATACATAGTATAAGGCTTATGACAGACTGGTTGCTGTAATAGTAGCGATGTATAGACATTAATCAACGGGTCGTGGGTTCGACCCTCACCGAGTTCAAAATTTTTCTATTATTTTTATAATTGTTCCGGAAACATATTGAACTTCTTCTGGTAATCTGTATATTAAATGAGTGGTCAAGTGCCACCACAGATAAAAAAGCCGAAGTTTTATCGCAATTCGATTTCAGTCTGTGGATATCCGAATATCCAAAAACCAAAACGGGTCGACAGTGCATCTTGTTTAGATGTTATATTGCTTGGGTATTTCAGTTACCTAGTTGGAGGAGGACAGACATGCTTGGGGTATACTTGATTGAGGGATGGACTGCTTGGAAGATGAATTACCCCCATATCACATCTAAACAAGATATGTTGTCGACCTATTTTGTCTTTGGATCCTCGATTTCAGCCGGTGGATTTCCGAATGACCATAGATAAAATAGGTCAACAGTGTATAGCAGCGCAGTTATTATACTTAAAGCTCCGGTATTTTATCTTCCCTTAAGTGAAACCCACAAAAATGTTAAAAAATGTTTTCTTAGCCCCGAGCGATCCAAAATTGTTTGAAAAATGTAATCTATTTGTTTTTGAAATTCTCTACTAAAGATAAACGTCGTTTCGAAGGGCCGCATTGAGTGTAGATATTTTTTTTCCTTTTTGAAGAATAAAATATACATTATTTTATGGCTCTCTTTTTATTTTTACGATATTATAATTATATTATGCTTTTGCTATTGTATAACGATCTTCAATCAATATACAACTAAAATGGCCGAAAATATGTATATTCACAGAACTATTGCCTTCATAAAAAATTAAGATTTAGGCAAAAATTGACAGCAGACGTATAAACTATGAACCGGCATTCACAGCATTCCGTTCCGCTGCTTTAACCAATTGAGCTACCGTGTCTATTTTTTTTTAATTCTCAAAAGATTGTTAATTATTAATGGTATATGCAATAACTTGTGAAAAATACAACAGACATTTATCTCGACACGTGTGCAACTTAATTGTTACTCTGTCCCAATGTTGGGAAAAAATATCCACTACAACGTTTAGTTCAAACTTTATCTAATCCTAATATTTCCCTGTAAGTCATTTTAAAGCTACGAAACGTAATTTAAAATGAATTATATCAGGAAATATCGCGTTCAGCGCGAAGCTCGGTGTCATTTATTTAATTTCCTCACAGTCTATTCAACGTCGGAGGAACACTCGAAACCCTTACATCAAGGGTTAATTTAATTTTCTCGAGAATCCTTTGAATTATTTGCTATTATTATTTGATAAGTTCAACCGCACTTTCTAAATTGTTTGGGGATTTGTAATTTTAGGAAGTCGTTGGTATTAATTCCAATAGTTACTTTTATCAGGTATTGGCACTTTTAACGGTTTAAAACACGAAATATATCAGTTAACTTATTTTCAATTATTCGCTTAGTGCTGATTTGCAACAACAATGATCACGGGGTTTACGGCCACTGCAAAGCATCCGATACATTGGGCAGTAGTTAAAATAAATTAGAAATACGTTAAGTAATATATTTTGAGTTGTAAATTATCTAAGCGATTTTATTTAAAAGCTTACTTCTCACGCAAACAATCAATACGTTTTAGGCCTTTGTAGGCCAGATTTTACCGAGAAACTATTGATTATAGTTGATTTGACGTTAAATCAGTAATTTTATACATACCTTGTATAAAATTGACATTGATGACAACTGTCATATTGGCATAGGTAGGAATAAGACAGACAACCAAGAGCATAATATTTTAGTAAGGCCCTAGTGGGTTAAGAAGGACCTTGAAATAAAATAGTAATTATTTATATCTCTCCATAACTAAAAAAAGTGGAACCTCAAAACTTAATTTAAGTACTAAATCATGTTTAAATTAATTTTAATTTGCATAAATTATTATTTTTTTAAATTCAATTGTCTATATTATTTAGGTGCTGAGGACAAAACCCTAATAATATGGGAGACGAAGCGAGGCCTGGCTTTGACGTCTCTTGCTCTGCACGTGCCGCTACTTGGCTTTCGAATCACGAGTGACTGCGCCCGGATTGTAGTGCATCTGCTAGATAGAGGTTTGTTTAAAGCTAGGGGCACAACAGCGTGGTTAAAAATCTATTTAGAGAAATTTTCGACACGAGCGGGACCTGAGCCGGCATTAATAATGTTCCGTGCTGCTTTAACAAATTGAGCTACGGTGTCCTACACGTCATTGTAATTTTTTTAAACCTATAAAGGTGTATATTTATTTTCGATCTAAATAGATTTTTAAGTTATATATGTTGATTATTAAAGTTTTTAAACAGCCAGTTTATTAACAGAAAATTTGATAATGAACATATTTTTAAATTACAATATCTACATAATATATGTGTTACGAAAGGATTAGAAATTAAATAGTATCGTTATTATTGACTAAATAAATTCTGACCGAAGTGCCATCACAAGCTTCTGGTCACGTTAATATTCTTATGTCTTGTTTAATTCATAATATCGTTATAAATATACATAAAATGTACATAAATCGCGTACGATTACTTTGTAAAAAGTGTGTTAATTTTAATTTTGTTTCGTCACTATTTGTAGCGTTATGGCACGTGAAATCTGAAGAATTAGTTTTTAGTATTTCATATGAATACAATAGTTTATATGTCAATCAGCGTCTATATAAAATCTGGACTAAATCAGTCCAGTCGTTTAAATATAAAACCATGAACAAATAAAAACAATAGACAAATTTTATAAAATGAAGTTTTTATGATAATGTTTTTCACTAGTAGTGTAACATTTGTAATTTTTTGTAGATTTAAAAAAAAATACAATTACAATTTTTATAAAAACTTTCGTGTTTCTTAAATCGTGGAAAATTCTTAATTCAAAAAATGTTCATGGATTTTGACCTTCATAACTTATTTACTTGGCACAATATCAATGCCGATTTTTCACATTTTCATAGAGTAAAGTTTACAAAAACCTAGTTAACTAAGACTAAACTCAAAAGTTGTAGTGGGAATTGAAACCAAGAGCTTCTTAGCATGTTGGCTAAATCTCTAGTGTGCCATCAGCTTAAAATCAAAGTTTCACAGCGTGCATTTAATTACACCTAGTTCTCGGAACTTAGGTTAGTGTCAACTTTAATTAACTGTCGAGTTGGAATGACATGACACCATGCAAGACCGTAATGGAATAGGCTAACATCAATAGAACTTTGGTTTTACTGAGGTTTCTAGAGAGGCTACAACTATGATTATAATTGAGCTACCGAGTCAACAGAGGATGGCAATCAATTGATTTCATAGCTTTATCGAATAGAGCAATAGCACGGAACGTTGTGGATGTCGGTTCAAGTCCTGCCCGAGTCGTAAATTGTTTAGTTTACATAGTCACATACTTAATTCATTATTTTTTCTTGACTACATCCTTAAACCAATGCTTTAACGTATTGCCTAGTATTGGGTTAAGCACGAGAGGTTCTAGGTTTGTATCCCTGGGGTACAATAAATTGTTTTCATCGGCTAGGACATAAAATCTTTATCTTAATCAAAATCTCTCGTCCTTGTATGTAAAATTTAATTAGGTATTTGGGTTCACTAATCCCAACACTGGGATTTTTTGTGTCGCGGGTTAGCCACCTCAGTAAGTTAAGTTAAGCAAAAGCACTAATATAATAAAAAAAAGTGACTAACAAATGTCTCAGATTTTGATTGCATCAAAGATATATTTAATTTTTCAAATTGATTGTACGAGTTAATTTATCTTAGAGTAAAGCAATAATTCACTCAACAGGTTGCTTGCCAATTATATGTTTGCACAACACGCCGGCTACCTACGTCAAGATTCCAACATACGCCGCGCCCACTAAAGACGTAGACGGTATGTAATATTTAAATGTATCACAAAAAATACACCGGCGGGAGTCGAACAGCGATCACAGTACACTGAATAGAATGTGAAACGAAATGTCTCTGATGTTGACATAAGTTTTTTTTCAAAGTAGTGTAGTATGTTTTTTTTAGGTTTGAACATACAAAAATAAATAAAAAACTCGATCTAGATTAAAAAAAATTACAAGCGCTGCTAGATGTTACACGGAGAGCTGTCGATGCCAGTTCCAGTCCCGCACGTATTAACAGAAATTTGAAATCTAAATAAATTTTTAATTTAAGTTTTCAAACTTAAATATTTTTCACATGTTGTTTGTATATAAAATTCGGCTATACTATAACTAAAAGATTAGACTATATAATATATAATAATATAATGAGTGTATTTTTTACAAAAAAAAGATATACGTATTTTTAAATAAATAATTTATATACCAAACAATTATTACGCAAAACAGTTTATTTTTAGACTGAACTTGGCGAAAATTTAGACTCTATTTAACTCACTTTTCGTCAACAAAACTTAATATTCTAGACTAAAATAAATCCGTCAAGTTAGCGTAGATAATTACCGTTAACTTATCGGTTTATTAGCCACTACATAAATAGATGTATATTGGCTATGGTATTGTAACCACGACCGCGGGTCAGACCACAAATTGTTTTAGCTTCGGCTACGCCAATTGAGTATTAAATTATTATTTTCATATAGTATGCTTGAATAATAGCAAATTTCTATATTTATATAAAAAATACGACACAGGCAAGACTTGAACCGGCACCCACAGCGATCCGTGCGTTATCTTAACTAAGTAGATAACTCGATTCCTGCCCGTGTCGTTCGCTTTTTCAAACTAGATAGTAATAAAACACTTAATCGGTTTAAAACGGGATATATTAGTTAAACTTATTTGAAAATGATTTTTAACTTCGGCCCGACGTTTCGGATGCTTTGCAGCAGCCGTGGTCACGGGGAAACGTCGGGTCGAAGTTGAAAATCATTTTCAAATAAGTTTAACTAATATATCGCGTTTTAAACCGTTAAAGTGTTTTATTTAAATGTGTACTACTCGCGTAAACTATAGACAGTATTTAAGATTCAAATAGTTAAAATTGTACAACAATCTTTTTCTATTATATACTTTATATTACACAGTAACCTCTTCTTTCTATTGTTAAGAATTATGTGCAAAATGCAACTTATTCACATATATTTCAAATATCGTTTTGTTATTAGAGTTGAGACCACTCGCGCCAAAACGACCAATGAGAAGACTTCTCAAGAAAGAAGTCTCTCTGGACACATACACTTGGCAGAAGAAGTATGCTCATCTAACATCAGCAGCTATGATGGCACAAGTGGATGAAAGATTAAAAAGAAGGTGAGTCAATGGAAGATTTTTTTGTTTGTTTAAACGTGCTCATCTCAGGAACTACTGGATCGAATAAAAAATAAAAATTCTGTATTGCATAAACTAATACTATATATGGAGGAAGGATTTAGGCTATATAATATGACGCTGCGACCCAAAGGGTCGAAGAAATAGTGGAAAATGTGAAAAGAAAGGAAATTTATTCATCGTTGAGGGTTCCCGCCGCGTGCGCTACGAAAACGGATCGTTATTTTTTTAATAATCGAACAAAATGTTTCGACACTATATCACTCTAATTACAAAACAAGGCCTAAATCAAAACCTGGTTTAAACCCTGGTTTATTTGAAATACTTATTACAAAACGAAGTTTAACGTTTGTACTAGACTAACTTAGATTCATTGTGTGTAGACATGTGTACATCTATGTGCAGACATGTGTTAACTTAGATTCATAGAGACCATGGTTTAAGAGTTAATTTTCTAGACTCGGCAGTTCTGGTTCAAGTATTTTTGTGTAAGGACGTAAATGTCTATCTTTTAATACTCGTAAGAACCGTTTTTATAGTAATCAAATTTAGTCGAAACAATTTTGTCAAAGTTTCTTATCACAATATTATTAATCGTGCAAACAACAAACTTTTTTAAAAGTTGTCGCCCATATCCACTTATTAGACTAATTAAGTATGTTTTCAGGTTCTCCGTATCAGCATCAATGGAGGAGATATCCAAGATTCAAGAAGCAAAGAATAAAGACTTAGGATCCCAGGTATAATGAGGAAATTGTAGGGCACGGCACTTATCAAGGGAATCGAGTTAGCCCCGGAATTATCGAGTTAATTACGTAGTTCGATTGTAAGATACGGAGCTCTGGCGCTTTGTAATAGATACTGAATACTAGAATCGAGACTAAAGTTCGAAGTTAGGTTTTGCGAAAAACATTTTCTTTTTGGTTTAAATTAATTATTATAGCCTTACTGCAAAGCAAAGCAGACGAGACAAATACAGTTTAACAAAATGAACTTAGCTTATTAACTGCATAAAGTATGCTAAAATAATAAAAGGGGAAAAAGGAGGAAAAACAAACAAAAAAGGGGGAAAAAAGTGTTTTTTGTTTTAGTGTTTTTTTTTATTTTGTATTTTATTTAAACTTACGTATACTGCCGTGCATTTTTGTTTATTTCAATATAACTAACGCTGTATGTTATTAGGTAAGCTTGGGCCCAGAGCAAGCGGCACTCGCGCAGTCACAACACTTCGATCAACTGGAAGCGCTCTGGAACAAGATATCTCCTCCAAGACGACGATCGAATAAGGTTCACATTTTTATAAAACGATATTTAACAAAAAGAGTATATATTTTCCTATTAGTCACATGACGATGTTTTATAACCTATAGCCTTCCTCTTTAAAAAACCAACTCAAAAAATTTCAAATATACAAAGCTAAAAATTAACGACCTTTCCTTTAAATGTTCCTTATATTAAGTGAACCTCTTCTATTACAAACTAAAAAAAATTTTTGAAATGAAAAATCGAAAATAAATTGAACACGATTTCGACTCGGGCAGGACTTTAACGGTAATCGTCAGCGTTCCGTGCTTATGCTCTACCAATTGAGCTACCGAGTCCCTACACCTCATCGTCGAATTTTTTCAACTTATTGTTTCATGTATTGTGCTGTTGCCCTCACGAATTGGTTAGGACGGTATCCGCAGCAGGGCAAGCTGTGGATGCCGTTTCAAACCCTGCCGGCGTCGAAATTATTTTCGATTTTTCAATTATATAGTGCCATCATGTTCAAACATATTAAACTTTTCAAACAAAAATATTTTTTCGGTTCTTACGTAGTTGTTAAGTCTTATTTATTCTTAAATAATAAATTGTAGATGGTAGAGCTAAGACCCAGAGACCCACTAGTTTGTTCAAGTGTAGGATGCATTAACGGCTCTACACACAACGGCAAAGCATTTGAAGAACATCTTATTACCAATATGTATGTTTTAAATGTCCAAGATTCATAGCATCTGTTTATTTGATTCCAGTCTCTTTCAAAGCAGAGCTCGTTAATCGAGCGTGTAGATTCATCCGACGAAGATCACACACCAGTCGAAGAGCAGGGTAAGGATTTAAATACTGTCTATAGCTTGCGCGAGTAATACACGTTTAAATAAAACACATTAACGGTTTAAAACGCGATATATTAGTTAAACTTATTTGAAAATGGTGCCGTGGTCATGGGGAGACTCCCCGTGACCACGGCTGCTGCAAAGCATCCGAAACGTCGGGCCGAAGTTATAAATCATTTTCAAATAAGTTTAAGTAATATATCGCGTTTTAAACCGTTAATGTGTTTTATTTAAAAGGGTAAGGATTTGTTTAATATTTAAGTACGTTATACACATGGGTTCGATTCCAAAAAACATGTAAGACCTAGTTTGGATATTAAAAGATGGTAGTAGAAATAAGTGGAAATCTGCTTATTGGTCGGTATTGGTTGGTATAGACAGAACATCTTGTACATATATAGCTGAAATACTTTACCATTCATCAAAAAAAAATTATTCTCTGCCTTCCTTTATCGTAAAAATAAATCTAAGAATAATGGTATATCGATTAATAAAATCATACATTATCAAACCCAAGAAATAAAATGTGCTATCGGGTTTTCGAACTGTTAGTAATGATGCCATCCACTCGTAATGGAAACGTCGAGAATAAATTCCTTAATTACGATGCAACGGCCGAACAGTTTGACTACTCAAAATATTCAAAGTGTCCACGAAAGCCTTAGAATTTTATAATGAAAGTATATAATCAAATATATATATGTGAGTATGACTCAAAAATACTTATTACATTTTTATACAAACAAACGAAAAATATATTATTGTCACCACAATATACTCTGAATTATAACTACATGACGTAATTTGAATACCTAAAATGTACAAAGGAATAAACTGGAGCTTGATTCGGCACCAAACTTAATGGATAATTTAATACTCGAAGCCTGGAATCTTCAGCGATATTTGCATCTTAAACGAGACGCGCGATGTGAAGTCGTAATTTATTCATATATAATGTTTGATATTAATTTCTGATCTAACTAACTAGTTAGTCAAGCAAAAACCATATTAAGGTTGTCCTTTACAAAAATACACAACAACATCAGAAAATAAATAAATGGCTAACAACTAACAAATAGAAAAAAGTTAACACACATAAATACTAGGCTATTAAAAAAACATCACACAGCTGTTGCTGAAACAATAGAATTGATGTAAAGTGGTCTCCCCGAAAGATTTTTACCAAAAAATAATAAGCCAAAGTCAGTAAGGGGAAAACACAATTACAAAATTTAAATACACCACTATACAAACAATAAATAAAGAAACCTTACCTATGAAATAAAATTAACTATACTACAAATGTGAACTATTTCACTCACACGCCGTTGTGTAAATTTTTGAATAAGACCTGACGTTTTGTCTTTCACATTTACAGCCAAGTAGTTGAATTTTTGTGTCCTGCCTGTGTAAAATTAAAAAAAGCACTTATATTTCCTATTTAATGAGTACACTAAAATCGCTACAAATCTTACAAAGTCTTCGTCACATAAATAAAAAAAACTTTTATTATTATTATGGATCGTTTTGTAACAAACACATCCTTATCAATGTTAATCTAGATAGAAACACGTAATATAGATATTATTCAAACCGTGTTTTCTTTCCAGAACATATGGTGGAGTAAACATCGAACAATGGAAGTAGCTTATTTAATTTTAATCCTATTTTATTTAAATTTTAGGAGCTGGTCTCTTTATCCTGTTATAAAGACGTTAAATTAGTTGCGTTGTTTATTTTTTAAGTGACAGTGCTCAGGCTTTCAAAACAAGAGGGCGGACATAATTGTATGTCCGTTAACTTCCTTGTCCGGCCCAATCAAATCAATTGCCCCTGTACTGGCTATTTCTTCAACACTAATTTTCTTTTAACAAGACTATTATTTGCTAATTTAAATTTTGAAAATGGAACGGAAAAATTTATAGCCGGGCACTGTATATTTTACGCCTTCAAGCTAATAAGTAGATTGTTCATAACTTAGCATACCTAACTTAATTCTAAACCTTCTAAGCCTCTGCAATGTGATCTTATAGTCTAGCTTTTGTTTGGAGAAGCTTCTCTACTTATAAAAGAAATTCTTCAACGTTTTTAGAGTATCATTTGACTCATATCAGCATGAAGTAGAGAAGCTTTTCCAATACGTTTAGTATAATTGTTGATGTTTATTCAATAACGACTTGTTGCTTTTATATTTAACACGTTTCCCAATACTATAGCAACTTTCTATTAGTATTCCTTGTTTGAATATAGATGTTATGAATGTTACAAACAGTTGCTACTTTAATTACAGGTTTAAACAAATTATGTATTATTTTAAATAATATTTAGGCTTCACAATCTAATTACATCGTTTTTAAGTTAAAGTAATTTTCATGAAGTTGTTGTCTTTATATTTAAGTGAACAGAATTGAAGCCTAAAATATTTAATTTTTTATAAATAATTTAACAAGGGGGTTTGTTTTCACCCCTTTTATTGTACTAGTTTTCCGAACTGTGATCCCTTGTTAAGACTTCTACATAAGAATTGCAAGTTATCTTAAATAATAAGTACTTATAATACCTAGTTCTCGGTCTAGTGTACTTAGTCATGTACTTACATCTTTTACACGTTTAGACGATACCTACTTACGTAATATCAAACTGTTGTCTTTTATAAATAGGAAACTGTACCGTTAGTAGTTTTCACACAGTCACCAGAAAAGTTAAGTAACACTTTGTTAAATAAAATAATCCTGTATCAAAGTTAAATTTACCAAAATTTGGGGAGATTTCTCATGTGACCACACCATCGATATACAGTTACGACTTAAATACTGTCTATAGTTTACGCGAGTAGTACACATTTAAATAAACACTTTTGTTTCGGATGCTTTGAAGCATTCGAAACGTCGGGCCGAAGTTAAAATTCATTTTCAAATAAGATTAATTAATATATCGCGTTTTAAACCGTTAAAGTTACGACTTAGACAAATAAAACAGTCACCGATGCGAAAATCCGTATGTCAGAAACGGCATCCATCTTGCTATTCAATAAAATCATGAGGAAGTAGCACGAAGTAGCGAGAACAGGCGATTCGCCAGCTGTTTTTTTTTTAATTTTTTATTTATCATATCAACGAAACAATTACATTTATTTACATACTGATGGCAAAACAAAACACTAAAACTGATGCTATCGTGAGTATGTGTAGCCTTTATAACGCTTAACCATTAGAATTATCAATAATAGTATTGTATTAATCCGAAAATAGCTTGACATAACAATATATCCGATTATGTTTGTTTTCCTAGACAAGTGCATTTAGCGATGTTTCTTTCGATCGCACATTCTCCCAAAACCTACTTAGTCAATAGCTAGTCAAAACTTAGTGCCGAATGTTTTTTGAGGAACAGACTACTACCACCAGTAGGGCAATTTTTGTAATCGTATATACCTTCATTGAAAACAACACGTGGATCTTGTAAAGCCTTCTTTTCTAATTAAGAACGTTGAGTAGATGCCATATCTTTTGTGTCTAACTCAGTTTAAAAGACGTACAGTAGCGTAGTTTAGAGTAAAATGCAATAATACTTTATAAGTAGATGCACTAATTTGTAGTGATAGTTGGATTCTATTTTGGAAGCTTATTGTTCTATTGGAATTCGCTTACACAATTCTTTGCAGTGATGAGTTGTATAATTAATTTCTTTTTAATGACCCAGGTGGCCGCGCCGTTACTATAACAATTACGGTGCCACATTATTTCGCATGCTGCGCAAGAGTGCGCAGTACCTGGGTTCACGGTCTGCATGTGTCATTTTTATATATATTTATTTATGTTATCATGTTCATTCACATGTGGAAATTATAATAATTTTATTCGGTTCAAAATTTAATCCGATGAGTATTGGTAAGGACAATATAATTGTAAATATATATAGCACAATATTAAATCACACTGAAATCGAACTAGTGATAAGGTGGACTACTAATGGATATAATGGTTCACAAACCTTGTACTTATTTAATAATACTCTTGGAAAGTATGAAACGTCAGCAGTAACAACACCTACTTTAATAGATCTTTAAAAAAATGTAAAGTCATTCGGCAATAAATTTCAGTAAATAATTTTAAAATAAAACACTTTTAACTGTTTAAAACGCGATGTACATTAACTTATAACGACTACACGCGATTTTCCAGATGTTATGCAGTAGTAAACTACAAACAATTCTCATTGTGTACTATCTATTGTTTTAACGGTTTAAAACGCGAAATGTATTAGTTATTTCGCTTACTTTGCAGCAGCCGTGGTCACGAGGCACATCGGACCTTAATTAAAGTAAATTATAATTGCATATACGTTTAAAAGTGTTTTATGTTCATTTTTATTATATTTAAACTGTTTTCCAAAACTGAAACACAAAATATTGTCCTTACCTTTGACCGTCGCGGTTCTATGAACGTACCCTTGTTGACTATTTGTATAAAACTTTTATAAATTTCGACCCTTGAACGAAACTTTATTTTCAACTTATGTGAAGTTATACTTGATAATAAAATCTCTGTGTTTCATTCGTGTGTTTTATTTAAATTATATGAAAAAACAACTGCCGTAAGTCCTTAAGAGGCAAAATTTGGACCATGGACACAAAATTACAGCGGTCCATTAAAAAAGTATTGGGAACGACTTTTGACTTGAATAAGTCATGACATTTTTATAAAACGTCTGTAATCTGTGGTGAGTCATAATGAATGCCTAAAATTTGTTTCTTCAGAGAGTCATTCGTCTTCATGATGTTCGCTTTATTCTTCGCTAACGAATGATTTTGTTTATCTATAATGTTATGAACAATAAAGCTTGTTATTAGGAAACTTTATATTACTATCGAGAGGCTCTTAATAAATTCCAATCAAACACAATCTAATCTCTGAAAGATATTTTATCAAATAATAATTATTTCCTAGGCCAAACCTTTACCGCAAGTGCTTAGAGAAGCTCGAAGTTTATGGTTTAAGTGAAAATGCAAATTATATTGTGCCTTATCGAGAAATACTTGGTTCAAATCATACTATGAAATTGGATCTGGTGACACCACAATTTCGGAAAAGGTGGAACATTGTAATCTAACAATGTCGATATAATGCAAGACGCCACACTTGGATGCTTGGCCGATGCTGTTTATGAAGACTTCCACTGGACTACGTCATCGATAATCAAGTTTACAGCGCTGACAATTGGCATGGTTCTCTCTTCTTTCGCCGTCATATTACTTCTTGCCACTTCGTGCCTCTTCGTTGAGTGGAGGAAACGAGCGAAAAACCAGATCCTCACACAGTTCATGATAGCGAGATATATTTACACGGTAATAAGATATGTATATGACATCTTAAAGATTTGCCATCTAACCATACCCTGGGAATCGCACAGTACGTTCATCTTCCATGTTTACTCTGAAGCAGCTTTAATGGTTTGGATTTTTATATTTAGCAAACAAATGTACTTGAGTTTCGTTAAAGTCTTTAAACAGGATAATAATATCATAAAACTATCCATAATCGCTTGGTTCAGCCCTCTGCTTATTTCATTGTTATTTTATTTTCTATGTTATTTCTGTATAATGAACTACAAACAATTTATGTTCACTTACATGCTGTTCATAAAGTGGCCTCTCTTGACAGCTAACGGCGTCTTCTTGATATTAGTTTTAAAAGCGATTATAGATAGAATAATTAAGAAGAGTAAAAACAACTTTCGTATCGTAATTGTCATGGTCACTCTACTGTTTACATTTTGCGTTCAGCAAGCGTTACTCGACCTTCATAAAATTCTTTTTGTATTGAGTTGCGATGATAGTAGATTTTCGAATTTCTTCTTTGCCGCTACCGTTATAGCGGTTTATCACTGTGCTGTATCGATTTTCTTTTGGTTATTCGGAAATAAAAGGACTGTCGAATTGTGGTTTGGTGGCGGTAAGAAAAATGAATTAATGTCACAGAGTATATAGAGCTTGTAATCTATATTTTTAATAAATAATAAATTAAATAGAACTGCTAGTTTTATTAATTATTGCAATGGGAAATACAATTAAGTAATGTCTTTAAGTACCTTATAAATATAAGTATATATGTTCTAGACTTTACAATATTAGGTAGATGTTTTTTCGTTAAAATAATAAATGTTGTTTTGGTCGAAACTCAGCTAAAGTTTAACGATGTTTTCTTTATCCAGAAGATACTGCCACCGTTTGATAATCAATCGGTCATCAAAATCCCGAATATGAAAAGGCAATACAGTCCAAGCCGGCACTCGAGTCGGTCTACATAAAAACTTTGAACGTAACTACCAAAAAGCTATAGGGCGATATAAAAATATCTAGGCAATTAACCTTGTTATAGGTCCGGGGAAATGAGAAAACTTACCGCCAGTGCTCAGAGGCTTAAAATAAAAAGTTTTAATTGATTGCTCCCTGCAATTATCTGAATGGGAACCGTTTATGATGGGACCGTCATTATAAAGGTATACGGTAATACGGCCAGCAATTAAGAAAATCAATACGATCCTCACCCGAATTAATTTTTAATACGCCGCTTTTGTTATCTTGAAAAAGAAAATGAATTCACCATTTAAAAAATACACTACAACGGTTTAAAACGCGAAATACATTTACATTTTTTTACTTATATATAAACTCACATGAATTTTATATTGCTTTGCTAGAGTGTGTGAATCATCCCTAAATCGGGAACGAGGCGGCCATTTTTATGTTTCCGTTTCATTGATTGATATTAAGATAGGCAGGCGGTTATAGCACGTAGTAAATTAAAAATTATAGATTTCCTTCTTTCTATTTAAGGATCATAAGAGGCTTGCGCGATATATACGCCGAATTTTATTTAGACATTTGGGCATGTATGGGCAACCAAACGACAGTAGATACAACAAGTATACTAGTAAAACAAAAATAAATATAATATAAAGTACATATACATAAACAGGGCATCTTGTTGAGATGTTACGTGGCTGGGGTATATAGTAACCTCCTGTATTATAAAACATGTAGTACTTGTCTCTTCGTTAGCGTTTCCCCCTTCATCAATGGCCCTCTTCGATCAGCGTTGTTGATATAAGTAAAGCAAAGTGCAAACTGCTGTTGATTGGATCCAATTTAACGGAGGCTGCTCTAAGTTGAGCTAAGCTACTGGCGTGCCGCATAACATGAACGCCCTAACTATCTAATTACACCTTGATCTTCGTCGTAATTACAAGATGTTAGTGGCATATTGACGCTAGATTAACCACAAGGAATTAAATGCAGTTTATTCATGTAGATACCCTACAAGGGGCAAAGACATGTGTTTTACTTTTTTACAGTCAAGATGTTTAAATAAAACTCTTAAGAGGTTTACAGTCGTGGTCACGGGGAAAGCATCCGAAACGTCGGGCCGTAGTTAAAATAATTTTCAAATACGTTTGACTAATATATAACGCGTTTTAAACCGTTAAAGAGTATTATTTAAATGTGTGTGCGTAAACTACAGACAGTATTTAGTCAAACTGTTTTGTAGAATCTGACCCATTGGAAATTATTTATTATGTTTCCCGGGATTGGTACTCACAACGCTTAGTTGCATGTTGTGGACATAGAAATTCATCTTCCCTTAAATGAACTCTAATAATAATGCTTCTCTGTCCTTCTCTGACATAAAAAAATTACGCATATTGACGTATTTAGATTGTCTTTTATTTGTTGACATCTTTATTAAAAAGGTTATAAGCTTTGGGTAGTATGTAGCAATTTATGACTAATAATCTGACACGCTGAGCCGTAGTTCAAAAAAATTGTAAATATGTAACCTAATATATTTCCCGTTATGAACCGTTAGTGATATGAAAAAATAAATAATATTTAATGTTCGTGTGTTTGTGTTGTGTTTTATTTAACTAGCCTGACACTGGCCCGTCAATGCATTAAATACACTACAGAAAAACTGTGAACGATGTATTTAAAACCCTTCCTTAAATCACTCTATCTATTAAAAAACCGCATCAAAATCAGTTGCGTAGTTTTAAAGATTTAAGCGAACATACACACAGAAAAAGCGACTGTGTTTTGTTATATGTAATGATGGCCCACTTTCGTAAGCAGCTCAAACACTTTAACGAAGATTACAATTGTTTCAATGTAAGCTTGAAAATAATGACACGACCACATTTCCGAAAACTTCCTTAATTGAATAGAAGCGTCAGACTTATAGCTCGTCTGAGGTGCAAAACTAATTTATGGCTTCACAGAACTTGTGCACAGACAATCCTACATTTATGAGTAAATTCTCATTACTTCGATAAATTTGAAACGTCGTTTCGGCCAAACCAAAGGCAGTTTACGACATTTTAAAGAAATTAAATTTAAACGTTATTGTAATTAAAATAAAGATGGCGGTAGACGTCATCTATATCATATAAAATAATTAGAAAGAGAGCTCACTTAACACCTATCTCGCTCTTTTTCATCGATAAAAGAAATATTTAGAAAAATATAACAAAACAACTTAATTCAATGTAGGTATATAACTTATTATTTTTTTTGGCTTGATTTTAGATAATTCTTATGTTTTCAGAAACTTTTGAAAAACCTCCATCTTCAGGTTTCACTAAAACGTGGAAAGAGAGAAATAAATTAAAAAATGTGAAACTTTACGAGGACAAATAAAACTGTTTTCTTTCTTCCTTTCAAATTTTATAGTTCTTAGAGTGATTATTGAGTGAAATCCTTTCATCTAATCGCGAAGTTATGTAACTCTCATAACATCGTAATTATACGTAATTGTTGTATTTTACTTTTAAAATATTGTGGAGAGAGCCTTCAGTAAAATCTCTACGTAAATGAATTTTACGAATAGATTCCTGCTGCGCCATCTACACAAAGAAATACAAATCAAAATATTCAGAAACTCTGGAAATTGCATAGCTTCTGACGGTTTTTCAAGATGGCGCTTCACCAATGTCTGACATAATTAAGGCGCTAGTTTAATATGTTAAAAAAAACTAATAAAATAAAAAGAATAATTAAACAAAACGAAATAGAATACTGTCTATTGTTTACGCGATTAGTACACATTTAAATAAAACACTTTAACGGTTTAACACGCGATATATTAGTTAAACTAACTCTGGATCCCAATAAACAGCATACCAGCAAACGCGAAGACACCGTTAGTCAATTCTGGAAGGACCCGGCCAGTTTCGCCAAATACTAATATATCGCGTTTTAAACCGTTAGATTTTATTTAAAAACGAAATAGTTATGGAGCTTTATACGTACTTTCTATAAACACATATTTTATTCCTCTTAAAATTAATTATATTTTATATGTATGTATATTATACATGAGATATGAGATACCTGTCACTAACACATCACCGGTCTTTTTAGTTGGCTACACCGATACTTTTTTAGGGCCCTAATGTTTTGATTTACGATTCATCTTTTGACACTAAAGAGACACAAGTATGTTGAAGAGCAGATCTTACGCAGTAAGTTAAAAAAGATTTTATCCTATTTTCCCTTGTGGGTTAATTAGACTTATTTTGCATTACAATGCTAGGCTATAAGTTTATTATCGCTGGTATAAATAGTCCTTTACGCGCTAATAAGAAAAATAACTAAAGTATTATTATGACGTTATAATCCCTTTATTTTTAAATCATTGAATCCGTTCAGTGAGGTAAACAAACTTTTTTTGTAATGACATTGAAACGATCTTATGAGTAGTAAAAAAAAAATCAATAATATCCAATTAAAAATCAAAGAAATAATTAGTGTTTCTACGAATTATGGAAAAAAGTGATTTCCATAATTCGTATAAATATAGCTAAGGTTAAATGTTTGCTTAACATAAGAGCAAAAAGATATATTTGGAAGATCATTAGTGGAGGAAGTCCAACGGAAATATTAAACCTCTTAATGTAGTGTAACATATAATACTGCCTGTAGTTCACGATGGTTGTACGCGTTTAAATTAAACACTTTGACGGTTTAAAACGCGATATATATAAAACTCATTTTAACTATGTATGACTGAGCCGTCGTCACGGAGAGAATCTTTCCTGTGACCACGGCTGCTTAAAGTGTACTTAAATACTATTTTACATACTCACAGAATCATTGAAGGAGGCGGTCAAAACCCACAAGACAACGAGACAAAGGAGAAAGAAGGTAATATATTTAAAAAAATACACTTTTATTCATCGTTCCTCTAAGCAAATCTCGTATCCATCCTTGGCTTTCATCATGACGTTGAAAGAACAGTCTATAACTGGAACAGGTCCTGATTCTTCCTCACCAGTTACTTTATATCGGCGCAATATTGCGGTCAGCGCCAATTTCATTGATATAAAAGCAAATTGATATCCTGAAATATATAAATAGCTTAGTGAAGTTTAATTACTGTCAGTACTTATTAAGGACGGGTCGATCTTTCGGTTGCTGTCAATAAGTTAACTCATATATTTCGTGTTTTAAACCGATAGGTTAGATAGCCTGTTTAAGGCTAAAGCATAATTCTTTTTGCATTCATAAATATGCAGGCATTATATAAATTAAAAAATATTTTATTGGATCGTTGTGGCTGCCAATTTAAGTCCCGCCCGTTTCATTACTTTTACCAATCTTATTTAATTAATAATATAGAATCTTTTTCAACACTAACCATTCAACCTTGTACAAATTAATTCAACTTATTTAAATTCAATGTTAATTAACGTCAATATTGTTTTTTTATTACAGCTATCTTTGCGACGAAAAATCTGTAATGTAGAATATAATTAGCATATTTACCCAAGCAATTTCTAGGTCCAGTGCTGAACGGTACGAATAGTCCAGTTTTGCGTCCAGGGAGGAATCTATCTGGATCAAAGCAATCAGCATCAGGGCCCCATTGTTCCGGATCACGTCCTATGCCCCATACTAAAATGATGATACCGGCGTGAGCTGGTACACGCGTCCCTGAAGCTAAAAAACGGTCTAATGGTAACAGCATGTTTCTAATTAATTTGTAATTTTTCTGAAACGTGTTGGACTTCGTATGGAAATCTGAATATTAAATAGGTGATAGAAATAACAAAATTCCGTTAGATATTCATCTCTGTACATCTCTATCATAACAAAGTAGGATGGTTTACCAAATTTTAACCTGGCTAAGTAATCAAAGCATAACCTGTTAAATTTTAAGAATATTTATTTTTAAATTAAATGTAAATATTACTTAATATACAACTAAATACTGTCTATAGTTTACACGAGTAGTACACATCTAAATAAAACACTTTAACGATTTAAAACGCGATATATTAGTTAAACTTATTTTAAAATTATTTTTAACTATAGCCCGACGTTTTGGATGCTTTGCAACAGCCGTGGTCACGGGGACAATACATCGCGTTTTAAACCGTTAAAGTGTTTTATTTAGATGTGTACTACTCGTGTAAATTTAATATACAACTACTAAATTACAATGATATATTTATTAATAATTGCAAAAAATATTTTTTTATATTCATTTTCGTTTTCTTTACTTTCTGAGAGGGATTTATTTCACTTTTAATAGGGTGGTACATTATCTTTTTAATTTCATCATTCACGTCTGTTTATCTTACACCATCCTTCAATATCGGCAGAGTATTTTAAGCGATAAATTGACTCATATATAAACAGACAAAATGACTACCCTACTTTCTAGGCTAGTATTTAAGTATTTTACCAATAGTTATAATTATGGCATCTTTACTAAATACTTACGCAATTGAATTTCCTCTTCAGCTTCTCTAGATATTATTGGAACTGGTGGAAAGAGACGCAGCGATTCCTTTATAACCCGCTCGAGGTATTTGAGGTTTTGCAGGTCTTCTTTAACTAATGTACGGGAGGGGTCACCAAGCACTTCCATGATCCTATCAATCATAAGGAGAAAATAAAACTGTTCTTGGTTTGATAGACAGGAGTACATTTTTCTTCTTTTAAATTCTACACCAAGCTATGAGAGGTAGAATAAGCAGCACCAGGATTCTTAAGTGTATGTAACTAAATATACATTTGTAAAGGAATCCGAAAAATATACAGACAAGGGGATAAAAAATAAAACAAATAAATTAAAATAATATATAAAAAATAAGTTAAAAACCCTTTGTATTTTTACATATAACTCGCATTAAATACCTTCAACTAAATATTGAAACTTACTAGCATTCTAAATATAGTATATGTTACTTACTCTTGGTATAATTTTTCCTGAACCTTTGGATATTTCGCTAAAAGCTTCAAAGTGTTACAAATTCCCACAGACGAAGTATCAGTTCCCGCGAACAAAAACGTCAACACCTCTTCCTTTAACTCTAAATCAGTTATGTTATCCTTGCTAGATAACAACAGTAGATGCTCCAGAAAGCATGACACCTTCTTGGGGCCATCATCTAAAAATAACGAATTGTTAGCTTTGTTAATCCGTTATTGCTTATCGGATTAGACTGAGGATCGCGGGGTACAGGAAATCTAGATCGGGCGAAGTGTTACTTAGGTATTTGGTAAGCTTCAAAACTGTCTAGTATTAGCCCGGATTTTGGGAGAAGGAGGTTGAGGTTACCCCCGTGACGTGAAGACCATTTTAGGACGTTGGTCTTGATTTAATAGATTAGTCGTTAAACACCGCTTACTCGCAAAAGAGCGAGATGGGTTAATATTTTTACCGAAACTATGCAAGAGGGATCTGATAAAGTTGAAACGAACAAATTAAACTTAAAAGAAAGGCCTTCATTTGTTCTTTTTGGAGGTACATACCGTTATACATCTCGGCAATTTGCTCTTGAGAGATTTTCAACTCTTTTCGTTTGTTCTGAATAATCTGAAATTTATATTATGTTACTCGGTCTTGCTATGATCTGAGTATATACAATAATAATTAATTAATTATATAAAAATTTAGTCCTAGCCATAAAATTTGTACCGTGCACTCTAATTCCAAATTTGCCAGTTGCAAGTTTTGGGGACATCAATATAAGAACAGAAGCTACAAATATGAACTTACTTCGTCTGCGAAGGTAGTTGTTAAATCCATACACCTTTTGAATTCTCGTCCACTTGGAGTTAAGTAATAAATGAAATCAGGCCACAACCATACACTAAATAGTCTAGTAGCAACTGATGCGAATATATGTGTTGTAGCTTTAATAAACGCACTTCTCTTTGAATCGCTCAAACGAGTGTTGTTTACGCCAAGTGCAGCCTCTAAGTAAATAATTCGAAATTTGAATACAGAGTAAGCAAATGGTATATGAAAATAAATCACAGTAAGAATTCGTTCTGTATCATTAATTAATTTCGTTTCAGGTAAGAGATCGGAATACTGTGTGATTTTAATATATCAGTCGAATAGACATTCGACGATAACATCTAATGGAAAGTGGTGATCCGGTTTGCCTAGAGGAAACCCATTAATGCTATTGCTTTAGCGGAAGAGCCTCCGCGCACATTCTTCACAATCTTGCCAATTACAAATGAATTCAAATTTTTATATATTGACTGTAGGATCCAAAACGACGGGCCATAGTTAAAACAATTTGTAAATTAGTTAAATTATACTTTTCCCTTTTAAAACCATTTTAAGTGCTTAATTTAAATGTACACTACTTACCTTTACTACACACAGTACGTTTCTAAAGGTACTAAAATTTAAAAATATCGTTATTGAAAATTTATCTTTTTAACGCTCCATGTAGATTGTATAATGCAACATAGATCTTAAAAACATTTCCATTTTGGTTACATAGAAGTATTATTACATCATGTAAAGTTGAACTGACTTTTTCTGTCATAAAAAAACTCACCGAATATAGCCTCCAATGAATATTCGCCTATATACGACCCTATTTTAAATGGTCCAGTACCAACGCAATTATTGTCTCTAAGTCTTTCAGTCAACTCCTCAGTTTTTTGAACGATTACATCTACGTAACTGTTGACAACTTTGGGACTATAGGCGGCAACCGTTAGTTTTCTACGCCTCGTCCATATGTGCACTGGGAATATAATTTTGGTAGATTTAAGTAAATATTTGTAACGATTTGTTTTAACACATTGCGTGCAAATTATAATATGGAATGGTAATTTCGTTAAAATGGAAAAAAATAACGGTTGGCAAATATTTAGTTTCGTGCAAGGTTAAGTTCCTTAAAAAAAGTATTTTTTTTATTATATTATTTAGCCGACCTGGTGCAAAAATCCCACTGTCGCCATTGAAACTTCTAAAGATCTTCAACAACATATCATATTTCTGTAGACATTTCTTCGTAACAAACTCAACATCGATGGGATTGGTGATACCTAAAAGGATATATTTTCTAGGATCACCTTGGTAACACAATTAAAGCAAATTTATTAATCTCTCTTCTTTATTGTAATTTTCTTTTTTCATTTCTACATGCAAAGGTTGCCTGGAAGAAATCGCCATAGTTGACAAGGCCGCCTTTGCACAAACATTTTTTTATATAATTTTAAGTGTCTATGTTTCTGCAATATTTATTATTATTATTATTACATTTATCCGCTCTTTCTATCTACCTACCGTGGAAATGTATTTATAAAAATCTGTAGTGTGATAATATTGGTATAATTAGTATAAATATAAGTACTCTGCATCGACCATTAGAAAGAGACAACACTATAATATTTATTTCAGTAGGTGCATTCGCACTTAGCTTGTGAATATATTTACTCTGTAGAATCACGACAAACAGACAGACAAACATTTTTCGACGAATCTAAACAATGTTCGAAATTCTAAACAGATTAAAGTATATTTTATTTTATTTTACTTATTTAAAAAACCGATTTATGACCGAAGGAACTATTGTTTCCCTGGGATTCCCACGCAGTATTTCTCGCGCTTAATGCATCACTAGGCAACGCGTTTAACCATTTAGCTATAGAGGCATTGAACAATAATATATACTCACAAATAAAAAGTAATGGTCCGTTCCAATATTTTATTACACCCCCATTTTCCAAAGCGAATCGGCAATAACGCTTAATGACATTCATGGAATCTAAAAAATATGAACATAGAAAAATATATTAATTAATCTAAGATAACTAATCTATACTAGTATATACAGCTGAAGAGTTTGTTTGTTTGTTCGAATGCGCTAATCTCAGGAACTACTGGTTCGAATTAAAAAATATTTTGTGTTGGGTAGAGGATTTATCGAGGAAGGCTTTAACGCGATCTGACTAATAGGAGCGAAGAAACAACGGGTAGGTAATGTGGTTTCCGAGGCGTAAGCTGCAAGAACGTTTCAAGATACCTCTCTCTCCTCTCTCCTCTAAAAAAAGTCCGCGACGCTTTATTTCTATCTTTTAAGATTAACTTGCAAGAACAACGAGACGCGAGGCTCGTGGGTCGTCGTGGGTGGGGCAAAGTTAATGCTAAAAACAACTGCTACACACTCCACAGACACACAGACGAAGTCGCTGACACGCTGATAGTGGAAAAGTGATACCGAAATAAATGACATGGAGGTCTAGTGGCATGTTTAAACAGCTTCAGAACAAGAGACCGGGTGTTCAATTCCTGATCTTGTGAAATAGATCACTTCACGTACTTTTCAAAGAAGAAAAAAAACGACGACGTGTCATCTGCTAACACACCCTAGTCGATCTAATTTAGCGTAACGACTTAAGTCCTAGAAGTTGTGAAAAGCTTCAGGATTATTACATTAATTTATTAAAGTTGTATTATAAATTGAAAATATTATCGACTCTATCGGCAGGACTTAAACCGGTATCTTCAGCGCTCCGTACTGTTGCTCTAACCCAGTGTCTCGCAAACTTTTTTAGTCTGCGGCACGCTAACTGATGATTTTTTTTCCGCGGCACACTAAGCTAAATTACATTATTAAATACGTTGAGTGGGGGAAAAAACCACGCCCAGTGCTTTTCTAACCAATTCGCCCTCGCTTGTGCATCTTGTTGTTACGAGTACCTGCGTTCTGGGTTATTTAGTTAAAGTTAAATTATTACTTTTTGGGTAATTTTATAGTAATCAGAAATTGGTTTATAGATTAATCTCAGAATATCTAGTGCAACTTGGAAAATCTTTTGCGGCACACTTAACATTCTCCCGCGGCACACCAGTGTGCCGCGGCACACAGTTTGCGAGACACTGCTCTAACCAATTGAGCTACTGTGTACGTATACTTCATCGTCGAATTTTTTCAACTTATTGATACATGTACCTCTCGCGCAATGTAATTTCAACCTTTACACTTGCGGATTAAGGTTCAATTTCTTGTGCTTTGCAGCCTAAGAAAATCATTGGAGATGAAAAAACAAATAACGTTTGAAAACTTCAATAATTTTACGTATTATATGATACTATTCAAATTAAAAATGGATACATAGACAAAAAAATCGACTCGGGCAGCACTAGAGCCGGCATTCTCAGCATTCCGTGCTATTGCTCTAAACAATTCAGCTATTTGTATTGTGCCATCATTTGCAATAAACAACGTGTGAAAAATATTAAAGTTTTCAAACATTACATTAACTTAAAAAACGAAAATAAATTGAAAAAATTTTCGACTCGGGCAGGACATGAACCGGCATCGTCAGCTTTCCGTGCTGTTGCTCTACCAATTGAGCTACCGAGTCCTAAGGTACTCACGGAAAGTACAGGACTCGGTAGCTCAATTGGTAGAGCAACAGCACGGAAAGCTGACGATGCCGGTTCAAGTCCTGCCCGAGTCGAAAATTTTTTTCAATTTATTTTCGATTTTTAAATTATATAGTGCCTTCATGTGCAATAACATGTGAAAAATATTAATGTTATCATTACATTAACTTACTTGATGCGAAATCCATCGATAGAACGACCGGTTTTAAGCTTTCTTCTATTATTCCAATTAATGGAATTTTCGTTTCTGGTCCCGGTACGAGATCTGCCAATTCGTAAAGACGTCTCCTCTTGTATCTGAACGCTACATACCACAGAGTAATACCAACACAGAGAAGTACCAAAAACATCTTGACGAATTCACTTCTAATAGAGTAATGAACAAGAAGCACACATTTCAAATGTTAATATTAAAACTTAAGCTGTAATAATCAATTAAAATCGAGAGAATGTTGTAAAACATAAGGTTTTTACAAGTAAGAGTATTTATAACAAGATTCTCCTGTTTTTATTGTAACGTAAGCTTACTTGTCTTAACAGATTTTCTGATATCTTTTTAAATACTTAATTCATATAAAAACTAAAAAGAAAAAAACCGCGTAGCTAGAAGGTTAACAATGTTTAGTTAACTTTAATGTATTTATTTTATATTGTTGAAATGCGTGTAAAATTGCTATTTCGATTACCCAATGTATGTATTGTATGATTCGAAACATTAAATTGAATAATTACAAACGGGGGGAAAAAAACAAAGTATTGCCCAAAACTTTGGATTAGGTTATACTTATATGACTTTATTTTATTATCATAATGTTATTTAAAGTGTAAATAAGTGAAGTCCATTTGCAAGGAAAAAAAAGGTTTTATTTGCTAATTTTACATTTTTAAATAGCCGTACAATTAACTAACGAAATTCAACTTAAAACCATAAACTTGGCGTAGATTGCGATGATTCGAGGGGACAAAAAAAAAAAAAAGGAAAAAAAAAAAGGAAAAACGGGGGGGGGGGGTTGTCGGACAACCGCACCCCCAAGCCTATTTCATAGTCGTCCTTAGCTTTCATCATATGTTGTGTGCTCCATTTGTGGAGCAGGACTCGTTTCTATTTTCCCGGTAATCTTGTAACGACGCAATATTGATATCAGCGCCATCTTTGCTGACATGAAGGCCAACTGATAACCTGCAAAAGTAAATTATTATTCAGATGGGCTAATTGAATTGAATTGAAAAGCATAGTATATGTGTAATTCAAAATTGTCCTTATAGATCAACAAATCTCGTAATACATTTTACATCAGCCATGGCTCAGGTTTGGTAGTATGTTTATATCTGTTAAAAATATATAGTATAGTGTATATATATATATATATCTATATATATATATATAGTTTCTCTGTGAGTGATTTTGTAAATCTTAAGAGAAATAAACGTTTTAAACTATAAAAAACATGACCTAAATTGTGTTTCAAGATGTGGTATAAAAGAGAAAGAGGCATAAAACGCTGTGTTCTTTTAATGTTAAAAAATAATAAAACAAAATCAGCGCGGGTGTGTTTTTTTATTTCTTTTAGGGCTTCGGTATTTTGCTTGATTAAATCTTTTAATATTTTAACTATTGGATAACCTTTTTACATTTTTATAAAACAATTTAAACTTCTTAAAACGCGAAATGAACTTATTTTTCATTACCTCTAATTATTTCGCATTTTAAACAGTTGAAAGTGTTTTAATGAAATATGTAAGACTCGAAATCTACAGATAATATCTTTAATGTCCTTACCGAGACAGTTCCGTGGACCACAACTGAAGGGTATGAAGAGTCCCGTCTTCCGTCCGGGGAGAAACCTATCAGGCTCAAAACAATCCGCGTCTGGGCCCCATTCCTTCGGATCTCGCCCGATGCCATATATACTGATAACTATATCACTATCAGGATGTAAGATTGTACCGGATGCTGTAAATTAATAATTAAACATTTACTTAATAAAAAATAATTAATGCACGTATTTTTAAGTAAGATATAAATAAGTTCGCATATTTGTGTATTTCTGGATAAAAGTTACAACTTTTAATAACCTGTGTTTTTATTTATTTATTGCATATCTGAATAAATAAATTAATACCCATAACAAAACTTTTGGTATCATTGCTTGCCTTTTCTTCACTCCTTTACTCTTTAAGCACTAATGAAAAGAAAACTAACCACTCTGGTTTCATTGTTTACGGATGTTTTAAAAATTACCAAGCAAAGTGCATTCACTTTCGCTTTTAATAAAAACATAATCTCCCTATCACTTGTATATCAGACATTTTTTTGTACCTGTTTCACTTATAAGTATTATACTCTATTTAAATGTAAGAATTACTACTGTCGTCTGTGTCCTGCTTGAATAAAATTATTTATTATTTTCCCGAGATTCAAACCCCTGAAATCAGCTTTGGTGGTTTCAATCTCTTCTAAATAACTCAAGTAGTTCAGTCTCCTCTGTAACCCTTCTCACTATAAACGGTGCAGGTGGATAGAGACGCAGGGATTCTTTCAAAACTCTCTCCAATAATTTTAATTGTTGAAGATCTTCTTTAGTCACAATGCGTGTGCGCCCATGACTTCTATTACTCTGTGTATAATATTGCACATTTTACTAAACAATAGTGCTGAGAGTTTGAAACGAGAACTATATAAGGCCTCGGGGAAAAAGAAATCATGAGAAAAAACAATGTTCGTAAGAAACCAAAAGTAATATTTTTTATTTATTTAAAACGACATTTCTTTCTGACTGATATAAAAAAAATACTGTAGTAGTAAATGGCACTACTGCCTGCAATTGGGTTTCTTTTATTCAAGTAAGAACACTACATGTTCGACTTCTGTCTGTATCTTCTCTTGGGACAATTATCTTCTTGCGATCTTTCTCATACTCAACTTGGCTCGGTGCTTTGTTCTAAAGTTTTCAACTGCCTGCTAAAAAAATCGAAGATTTTGAATAATCGAAAATTTATAGGTATTATTCTGTATTGCAAATATCGAGTTTTCATCAGATCTCAACGTTATAAGGTCACAAGAAACGACCCTGACTCCCCTAGCAATGTAGCCACTGTGTGTGTGTGTGTGTTAATTTTTTTTTTTTTTTCAAATTAACTACTGCTAGTATAACAACACTAGCAGCCTGAAGAGCTAGAAGAAGACTCTAAAACGGGAACTAATGGAATTGAAAGACGTCACTATTTAGTGCTCTTAGTGCTGTCAATACAGCAAAAGATTTTTTTTATATTTTTTTTATTTAATCGCACAAATGGTGTTTAATAAAGAAGGTATAAATTATATCCTTAAACGCTAACTTACCATTTTATTTAATCTGGATAAGAAGGGATCCAGACGTTCCAAATCTATATTAAAGCAGGAAAATCACGTAATTTGAGTGTACTCGAATTAGAATCTCTAGTTAGAATGAAATAGACATATACCTTTCGCATAAATTCCTGTTACTTTAAATGAGAACCCAAAAAATACTGCGGAAGATTCTGGGACCGACACAGAAGGAAGACGGGAGCTGGCGGCCGCGAAAGAACAAGGAGCTCGAAAAGCTGTTACTTGACCCTAACATCATGGGAGAAGCTCGATTTCAAAGACTCTGCTGGACCGGCCACATCGAAATAATAACTTATTTGAAAATTATTTTAACTACGACAAAATAAGTTTACCTAATATATATCGCGTTTTAAACTGTTAAAGTGTTTTATTTAAATGTATACCAATCGCGTAAACTACAGACAGTAGTTTAGTATATTCTATCTTACTGTGTCGGTATCCTCAGGTTCATGATCTGACTATTTCTTATATACGAATAATGCTCCATGGCTAATTTATCAGCGACCAAAATTTCCGAAATAATAGAGTCAGATCTGAAAAGCAACAGGTTTAAAACTTGTGAAAGGTCCATAATTCGTAACTAAAAACTAGATATTTGGTCTTTCATAACTAAGCAATGATTTGAGATGCAATTATGAAACTTGGATAAAGTTGTACCTCGCGAGTCTCCGCTAAATATCTAAGTATTGAGGGAGACTATATATATTTACTAGGGTCCAAATAGTTTGTGTATATTATCCATCAAGTTCTCTTCGCCAGTTCACTTAAACATGGTTGACAGGCTGCGATCTAGATTTATTTTAATAAAGTCTAGTTTTTAATTTAAATACACTTTTTGTAATGTTTTATTTAGAAAATGGCTGATTATTGTGGACAACTCACACTTGACCAAATGTCAAATTTGTTTTCAGAAAAGACTAATTGGTAAAATCAGTTTCCCTATATCTTCTACAGAATTGGATTTACCATATTATCCCATTTAAAATAAAATACACTGTTTAATTACATTTTAGTTTCCGCTTAAACAAAACGATGACACGACCGCGCAATATACCGTGCAGTTAAAAACTGTTCATAATACTGTTATTATCTAAATTCTAACACATGACGTAATTTATATTTTTAATCTATCTACTGATTTTAATCTAAATCTATCTTAAGATTATAAGGTTATAAATAAAACGGTATCAACTTCAAAATCTTTATTAAGTAAATGCGATTTTGCACTTCATTTTTAAACTTCTACTTTCATAATATCACTACCCACAACTAAAATCTATCGCATCTCCAAGCCTATCTCGTAGCCATCTTTCGCTTTCATCATGATGTTGTAAGAGCAGTCTATATGTGGTATCGGACCGTTCTCTTCTTCACCAGTTACTCTATATTTACGTACGATTGCTGTCAGCGCCAGTTTTATTGACATAAAAGCAAATTGATAGCCTGTAATAAAAAATCATCATCATGATTCATATAAATCATTTAATCACCATATTAACTGTAAACTAGACTCGGTATGTCGAGGGTTTGATCCCCACCGAGTCCAATATGTTTCTTGTTAATGTATAATGTCCATAATGTAGGAATACAGAAATTCCGTTCGGATCACAAACTGACGTTTGTAATTCCGTAGTATCCCGCAGAAGTTAAATCGCGTTGAGATGTTATATGTCTAGACTTTTTCAGCAAGTAAAATAAGCATGGAGACACGTCTGCCCTCTTTTATCATAAAAAAACTGTAGGTAGAAAGTTAAAGAAAGCAAAATATTATTTTAATACCTATGCAGTTTCTAGGACCACAGCTAAAAGGTATAAAGAGCCCAGTTTTCCGATCCGGAAGGAATCTGTCAGGATCAAAGCAATCTGCATCTGCGCCCCATTGCTGAGGATCACGACCAATTGCCCACAAGCTGATAATTATATTTGTGTCACCTGGCAGGATTGTTCCAGAAGCTGTGTGAGAAATTTTATCATGGTAAAATAATTCAAATAAAACCACCTATACAAGTTCATTACAGTACATTCACAAACCCAACAATTATATTTGGTTTTAAAAAACTTAAAGCGGAAGTGGTCTAAGAAAAACCTTAATCCACTAACAAGTTGTACCTATTAGTAAGTCGCCTTTAACTAAATTTAGCTATTTATATATATATGTATATTTAGATTTTTTTTAATTATTGCTAGGTTTGCTTTTTGAGTGTTTTATAATTCCTGTCCTGTCTGTAGTTTACGCGAATAGCACCCATTTAAATAAAACACTTTAACGGTTTAATACGCGATATATTTTAGTTAAACTTGTCTGAGAATTATTTTTAACTACGGCCTGACGTTTCGGATGCTTTGCAGCAGCCGTGGTCACGGGGAGACTAAAGATGGAGGATGTCTCTGGATATTGAGAATTTATTTTTTACTACTTTCTCAAACAAGTTTAACTAAAATATATCACGTTTTAACCCGTTAAAGTGTTTTATTTAGATATTTCATTCCCCCAATCAGTGCTATAACGATGCGCTGAGTGGTTCCTGTTTTTAGGAATTGACTTTATCTTGATTGATTAGTATGTACCTATTTTATTAAAATATTTTGATGCCATTGGTGCAAAACTCACGCAATTCAGTCTCCTCGAAAACCTGTCTCAAGATAAATGGAACTGGAGGAAAGAGGCGAAGCGATTCCTTCACAACCCTTTCGAGGTATTTGAGCTTTGGAAGATCATCTTTAGTAATAGTTCTCGTGGCATCGCCTAGAACTTCTATAATTCTGTAAGTATTTATATTCTTAATAAAAAGTACACGTGTTTCTGTTTCCTGATGGAAGTTATAACCTAAGTTACTAATTAAATATTATATAGGGAAGACAGACATTAAAGGCATATATTATGTATAGGTACATATAAGACTACCTGCGTATATTCGTATAATTTTACAACATAGAGGTTGCATAGCATTTTTTCCTTTGTCTCAAAGTAGAATCAAAAATGTATTTAGATCTTCTAAGGTTGTAAAGGATCGTTGAAATATTTTTTTACTTACTCTTTATAAACTCTCTCTTGAACCTTTGGATATTTAGCTAAGAGTTTCAATGTGGTACAAATAGCGACTGACGAAGTGTCTGTACCAGCATAAAGGAACGTCAGGACTTCCTCCCTTAATTCGATATCGGTGATGCCATCTCTGCTGGACAACAAAATGAGGTAGTCTAGAAAACATCTTACAGTTTTGACGCTTTCATCTGGAAGATATCAAAATTGTATGAAATTACATAGGTCAAGGGTAATTTACAGTACTGTAAATTAAAATATGCATTGTTAATATTATTTTTAGAGTAAAATACAAAATTATATTAACAGCGAGCGCTCGATAGCGAGATTTCAATTATCGATATAAATTATACTATGCTCTTCGCCGAAAGCACATTGAACAATGCGGTGCCATTTGCTATTGGTATACTAATATGGGCTATTCTAGACTGACAAAATTGTGACACAATAGGTTACGTCTTTAGATTTTTTACAAATGTCTGAATAGTACAAACTCATGTGTCAAACAAAACAATCGCGATTTTTAGATTCTCCAAATACTAATTACTAGGAAACATATATTTGTCTTTACTATTAAGAACACTCTCGATCTCCAGTACCTCGTGATCACAGTTACAAAGCAGCAAAAATAAGTTTAACTAATATATTTTCATATAGCTGTCAATGTTTTTATGACAGACGAAAACAAGCAAGCATGGGGCCTCAGTGGAGGGTGGTATACCCCAACTATATAACATGATGCGCTGTTATCATTAGGATAAACAAATGCTGAAATTGAAAAATGTTGGACCCGATAGTAGTCTAATTCTAGATTACTTGATTATGAATTACTACAATTGGAAAAAAGCCCTCAACAAAGGTGATCAAGTCACGAAAACGTCTTGTTAAGTTTAAAAAAAAAACACTTTATCGGTTTAACGAGACACGAGGTCACAGAAAATGGAGGATGTCTCTATTGCCAAAGCAAAAATTGCTACGCTAGCGCCATCTGTTCCGTCGAAGTTGGTATTTGGTAAAACTGGCCGGGCTGTGACCAAGGCTCAAATAAGCTTAACTAACATATATCGCATTTTAAACCGTTTAAGTGTGTTATGTAAACTACTCGCGTAAACTACAGACAGTGTCTAGTAAAATATTTGTGACACTATTTATTGTTACTTTGCTTACGTCCTCACTCGTACTCAAATTGTATTTGCCATTATATTGTGCTAGTTAATTGTTTTGAAATTCCTTTACGTCATCATGAGCTTCATCTAATTGGGTGTCATTTAGTACAATATGCACGCAAACCTTAGATGACATGCGAAATAAATAATTACTATATAAACACAATAAGTTTATTGACTTCCGGTCTTCTCTTTATATAGATCCTACTATTTTTATATGAAACGCAACGAATAAATTTGTTGTTGTGTAAGAAATACGATATTAAGTCATATGTTTCTGTCGTGAAATATATATTTGGCTTTATAACTTATGTTTGGTGTTTGAAATTGTACTTTTTCGATGCATACATACCATTTTGCAGTTCTGTGTCATCTACACTGTTTTCTAATTCTTTTCTTTTCTTTTGTATAATCTAAAAAATATTAATACAAATTTAATAAAGATGTGATATATATATATTGAGTGAGTACAGACGAGCATGGTTCACTTGAATTTCTGAATGCTCGGGACCAAAATAGGTTAATATTTTGGTCTTGGGCATTCGGAAAGTCACGCATTCAATTTTCAGACGAAGTCTGACATGTTGATGAAAAAAATTTTCATTAATTTATAATAACGCGTTGGAACTGGTGAGAATCGAATCCGCGACTCGTTTATTAGCCATACAATGACATTACATTACTATAGGAACGACATCTAACCTCATCTGTAAAATCGTATGTGAACTTTCTTTCTTCCACAAATTTTGTATAACTAGCAGAGCATTTATAAATTAAATCTGACCAATACCAGATTCGGAATGCCCTGTTTGTAACTAAGGTCAAAATAGAAGTAGAGTTTCGTAAGAAGGCAAGCTTCTTCTCTTTACTTAGAGAGTCGTCTATGCCGAATGCAGTCTCTGAAACAAATTACGATTCGTCAGTGTAATTTTATTAGACGTTCAATTACCCTGTACACATAATTTTTATTGTCAATTTTAAAATAATTATTATATAAGTGCCTAACCTGTAGTAACAATGTATTCAGATCGTAATTATTATTACTTTGTTTTATCTGTATAGGACTAAGACGACACCTTGAATGCGGGAGCATATAGGCTTATTTTGTATAGTAGGTAGTGCCGGCAGTCAAACTGGCTGTTTATAATTTTGAACAAGTGTAATAAAAAAAAAATATTTTTAAATATGGAATCGTAAAAATTGCACAAGAATAATGTAATGAAAAATGATCATTGTAATAACTTACCAAACAACACTTCTATGCTGTATTCAAATATATGCGACCAAGCTTGGAACGGCCCGGTCCCAACGCGGTTAGCAAGTGAGAGTCCTTCGCTTAAATTATCACTTCTTTGAATCAGAATATCGATGTAGCTGTTAATAATCTTCGGGCTAAACGCTGGAACTGTTAACTTTCTGCGCCTTGTCCATATGTTGACTAGAATAATTGTTAATCTAGTGTAGTACCGAAAAAGTATAATAAGATTATAGTCGACACATTGCTAGCATTGATTCTATTCTAACTGTTGCAAGGCATTGCCACATTGCTTACATAGTAGCAAGTAAAATCTGAATATTCACAACCAAAATAGGTCAGCAAGTGTCTTCCTTTATCGTAAAAACGCAGTGGTTGAACTATTTATACAGAAGATATTCAAAATCCTTCGTTGTTCATAAATTATTGAAATAAACTTTATGGGTTAACAATGCGAAATATATTTTTTATGTTAATATTAAATAATGTTAATTGCAGCCCGACGTTCCGGATGCCCTGCAGATGCCGTGGTCATGGGCTGAAGAGGCCGTAATGTCAGAGTTAAATCTACTACGCTAGCGTCATCCATTTTGGTGTTGATTTACGCGTGGTTAAATTAAACTAAGAACAAGTTAGCTGATACTTTGTATACCCATAAAAAGGTTTGTTATTTATGTTAATACCTGGGGCGAAAATTCCTGAATTTCCAATAACCGTCCGAACCAACCAGAGAAGATTTGGCTTGTCCATTTTTTTCTTTAGAATGAACTCGGTGTCATTTGCGTCTGTAAGACCTTCGAATAAAATTTTAAAAGATATACAATTTTAAAAGATCTTACAACCTTGAAAGATTTATTTTATTTTATGAAATGATTTGTACACATGTGTATCCGCTTCGTAATTACTCAGAGCAATAAAAAATAACATATGTAATTACATTTTTAAATAAAACACTTTAACGGTTTAAAACGCGATATATTAGTTAATGAGTGGTCACGGGGAGACAGTCTCCCCGTGATCACGGCTGCTGCAAAGCATCCGAAACGTCAGGCCGAAGTTAAAAATAATTTTCAAATAAGTTTGACTAATATATCGCGTTTTAAACCGTTAAAGTGTTTTATTTAAATGTGTACTACTCGCGTAAACTATAGACAGTATATAATTACATTTAATAAACTAATTATTTATTACAGCTTTGTAATTGTAATCTATGGCGATTGTTATTTGGCTTTGGAGTTTTGATAGAAAAGTAAAAGTTACATCTTCAACTTTGAACTTTGAACTGTCTTTAAGTAGAGGTTTTTACAAATGACAAATAAACGGGTTAAGTCAATATAGAAATAAATTTTACACTTACCAACAAAAAACATAGGTCCGACCCAAAATTTTACTTTCCCTCCATTTTGTATAGAAAATGAGCTGTACAGTTTAATTAAATCCATGACTGCTGAAATTTTGATTAAAATTTTGACGTAAGTAGTTAGTTTTAGAACTTTATTAATCTGTACTTATATATAAAGCTGAAAAGTTTGTTCATTTGTTTGTTGGAACACTAATTCCAGGATCTACTAGACTGATTTGAATAGAGAATTCATCGATGGATACTTTAGGCTATACAACACCACCTTGTGACCAGTGGGAGCGAGGAAATTAAAAAAAAAAAACAGAAAGTGACATTTGTATCATTCATTTTTGAAAAACTCCGTTGCGTGCACTGCAAAAGCCGTTCAAGAAACCAAAAACGACATTGTTGTTAACAGCTGGTTAAGTATTAAAGACAATCAACTTTTAGCACTAAACATATTATTGTTAATATTGACGTAGTTTTTTCACAATGAAAATATTCTCAAGCAAGTATAATACATTTCTTTAGCATGGTTATAATATAAAACAGTAGTAACTAACTTTGGTGGCTGGTTATGGCTCCGTTTTACGAAATAGTGAATATAACCTTACTGCTTGGCTTTTTCATTCGCAAGTTTGCTGGGGATGATATTATTCCGCAAAGATAAAAATAAGTTCGAAAATTCTCTCACACATAATATTTGACAAAGTCTGTGCTCACAACGAAGAGCACCTATTCAAAAGAATTTCAATTTGCATTATTTGATAATTTGCTTCTATGAATTGCAAACTCTTAATAATCACTTCTCAGAGGAATTTACACTCGAAATATCAATTCAAAACTCAAAAACTGAGTCGTAGTCGTAACTTTCAAACAAACACAATTTTTAGTTTAGTAGCAAATTTATAATTCATTCGGTCTATAGTTTAATTCTGCGAAAGTAAGATACACAGATCAATCAGATATGAGGCTGCTAGAGGCAAAGTGACCTAATAAAAAAATCATGATTTTCAATGAGTAGGAAAGTAAATGCGCAATTAATTTAGGCTAAAATGAATTTCCACTAATGTTGTGTAAAAAATATGTAAACAATGTGCTCTTATAAATTAACATTACTAGACTATGAAAATATAAATAACTTAATTTTTTTCTTTAATTTACTTTAAACAAACAAGCCTCTGCCTGCCTACCTCAGTAGAAATCATTTGAAGGATTTAAATTTTGATCGGCAAATTGTTTATGAAACCCTATAAGGCTAGCTGGAAGCCGGAATCTCCTCTGCTACACTTTATATTAGGTAACACTTACTTGATGGTATGTCCTTGTTGTTAATCGTATATTGCACTACACCAATGAACGGATATTTTGCTTTCATCTCGGGAATACGAGCGGCCAACTCGTAGAGGCGTTTCCTCTTCTGCCTAAAAGATAAGTACCAAAGTACAGCAACACAACACAGGAATAAGGCAATCATCTTGATACCGACACTGGCACCAACCGTGTGGTCCATAATGTCTGTTTCAAATCATTTTAAAATAACGTTGTCGCTTGACCTTCGCTTTTTACTGATCAACATTTTAAGTTCGCACATATTATTACGTTGTTATCAAAAAAAACTGTTTAGCATACAACATTTTGTTAATATTTTTCACATGTTATTATTACATTACATACTAGCGGCCCTGACCCGGCTTCGCACGGGTAGACATAAATTAAGTACAAAGATTTAAAGATCGAAAATAAATTGAAAAAAAATTTCGACTCGGCCAGGAAAATTTTTTTCAATTTATTTTCGATCTTTAAATTATATAGTTCCTTCATGTGCAAATAACTTGTAAAAAAATTTATGTTTTCAAAGTACAAATATTTAAATTATAAGCATGCTTATTAAAACGGCTATGAATCACTAAATTAGAAAATATAGCGTATGTTACTCAGTGATAATGTAGCTTTTTAATGAACTATGAAGAAAGGAAAAAATCGGTCCAGTACTTTTTGTTCCGTTACATACAAAAATACAAATCTTTCCTCTGTATAATATTAGTATAGATGATGGCGCTATATACATTAATATCGATTATAGATTAACACGGTAGATTACGTGGTTAGAGTAATAGCACGGATTGCTGTGGAAATTGTTCCAGTCCTGCCCGTGTCGTGAATTTATTCTCAATCTAAAATCGATCTCGAATTTTTTGGCAGGATAACCCTTGGGTTCGTAAAAAAGCGTGAATAGGCACAAACTATAAGCAACGTCGCACGGGGTGCGCCCGCGCGGGCGCAGAATTTGTTCTTGAGCCTCCCGAAAATTGTATCTTTCAGTCGGCAATTGATATGCGGGTTGTGCTTACGCGCTTCGCATATTTGCGGCACCTAGATACGCATGCAACATATTAGTTTTCTAGTGTATGTCTTGTTAGTGTGTGTTAAAATAAAGTGATAGTTCCAGTACGCTTAGGAAAAATTGTAACTGCAGTGTATTACTGACATAATTAAAAAAAGGTAATTTACATTTTTATTTTTAAAACGAAATAGATTTACTTGTATGGCTGGTAGAATTTAAATCGTTATCGTAATACGTAAACAGAAAGTTCATATTACCACCGTAGTGAAACAACGTATCGGGTTTCAGCGCTCGAGCGGCGTTCGGCACTTTCGGCAGTCTTTCGTATCTCCGACGAACTTTAATGCCCGCTGCGCTCATAGTCAGTAAAAGCGAACAGTTATTGCTCACGACTATACGTAAATGAATTTGTTATAAAAAGGGAATTTAAAATACGACCGTCGTGGCATGTCTAAACATAGGTTAGACGAACTTTGGCGCATGTACTCTTGTAAAGAAAACTAATGCTACCATTTATTTTCGTCACTGGGGTAAATGATTGATGAGATTTTACATATAGCAAGCAAAAGGGACATACCAATAATAGATTGAAAGAGAATATGGGCGAACACTTCTACTAAAATACTGAGACAAAACGAAAATGTAACAAAAGAAAAATAACTGTATAAAATTAAACAATATGCAATCCCTTTTCTAATGGTCTGCGCATAAGACAGAGATAACGAAATAAACGCCAATGAGTAACCGAGACATACTACTGTTTACCGAAAATTACCGAGTATATACGAAGCTTTACAAAATAAACAAATAGAGATGTCCATACGCGTACCAGAGACTATTGTTTAATCGATTCCCATTGAAAATGACATTAGATCGTAGAAATATATTTGTATAAAAAGCTTTTGAATATAATAAAAAATGTGTATAAAATATGTAATAGTAATTATATGAATAATAACTCAGATTTAACTATATGACGTCTTTTAATAAAGAAAAACAAGTATTCATTATTTTATTTTCCTTTAAGAGTTATCGTGGTATCGTTTATTAAAAACACCATTCACTGTGTCCATGAAACCATTCAGTACAACATCTTATACAATAAAAAATCCATAATCTAAACCGATAAACATGGATTACGAACTTTGATAGAATAAAGGGTCGATGTGCTTATTTTTAGATAGGTTCTTATCATCTTTAATTAAATATCACAACGTCTTATGGATTGTGGTCGTCACTATGAACCTTATAATCAAATAGGTATGAGACGTTAAAGAAGCAAACTAAGGATTTGTTGTTTTGTATTTATTTGTTTATGCTAGTTTCACAGAGGAGATAGGTGAAAATAATATGAATATACAATATGAACCATTTTTTTTCACATTAGATTATTATTTTTATAAAGCTGGAATATTTGACATATAGTTCTTAAGTTTAAGATATTAAGTATCTGTATTTATACTGAGTAATCTACAGACTTTTCACAGTAGAGAACTAAGATTCATAGTTTTATTTTTAATGGCATCTCATTTTTACTATTATGTTTGACCACCATGTTGCCAAAACAGTCAAAAAGCGAAATTCTCTTATTAAGTATATAATTACTTCTCTCTCTTAGTTTTAATAAAAAAAAGTATTAAAATTTAAGTCTTTATTAAGTAAACTAGATTTTGCACTAAAACAACATTTAATATTCCTTATCATTTTTGTTAACATTTGAAATCTCGTTACTAGTTTCCATAAACACGAGTATTACTTTATTTTTTTGTATTTCAATTGTCAACTCACAATATCACTTGCCACGTCTTAAATCTATCGCATCTCCAACCCTATCTCGTAGCCATCTTTTGCCTTCATCATGATGTTGTAAATACACTCCATATGTGGAATGGGACCATTCTCTTCTTCACCAGTTACTCTAAATTTACGTACAATTGCTATCAGCGCCAGTTTTATTGACATAAAAGCAAATTGGTAACCTGAAATTACAAAGTAATTAAATCAACGAGCTCTTTGGTTTAAAGGAACACAACACACAATCTATACGAATATATAAAGCTGAAGATTTGTTTGTTTGTTTGAACGCGCTAATTTCAAAAATGACTGGTTTAATTGAAAAAATATTTTTGTGTTGATAAAGGTATTTATTGAGGTAGGCTTATAAGCTACCTCAATAAATGCTAAGTAAAAGCGCCTAATAATAAAGCTGTTTTATAGCCTATAGGCTATAAAACATTGTTTAAGCTATAGAAGCGTAAAATGTAGAAACAACGGGGGATATTATTTATCATTATGGGTTTCCGACGTGTACGCCGCAAAAACGGTCCAAGACACCCAAAAAATATGTAGAAAAAAATGATTCGTCTGTAAATTATCTAAAAAAGTCCGTGAAGCTATATGTCTTTCATTTAAGATTAACTTGCAAGAACGACGGGACGCGACCGAAGTCGTGCGTAACAGCTTAAGGTTATAAAGATGGAGTAGAGATTTACAAAAACAAATTTGGATGCCCAAAATAACTATTTTTTAAGTTTTCGTTTCAAATAGTTATTTTATTACCTATACAATTTCTTGGACCATAGCTGAAAGGTATAAAGAGACCAGTCTTCCGATCTGGGAGGAATCTGTCCGGATCAAAGCAATCTGCATCTGCACCCCATTGTGAAGGATCACGACCGATGGCCCACAAGCTGATAAACATGTTGGTTCCATTTGGCAAAATTGTTCCTGACGCTGTTAGAAATAAATTTAAATAAGCGATGGACAAAATTAACTTCCTATTCCATTTTGTAACCAGTAAGGATTACACAAATTAAGGTTATCTACCTAGTTATGAAAGAATAAGCTAAGAATTAGTAAGTAAAGTATACTTTTAAATTTGATACATAAGTTTAATTATTTATGTAGTTGGTGAGCCTTGTATAAATAAATTATTCAATCCTGATCAGGAGACCCATTGAATACCTTTGCTTCATTTTTTCGTCGTTTTATTAACAGCTATCTTCATTATAAAAAACTCACGCAGTTCAGTCTCCTCGAGAACCTCTCTCATGATAAATGGTACAGGGGGAAAGAGACGAAGCGATTCCTTTATAACTCTTTCGAGGTATTTGAGTTCTTGAAGATCATCTTTGGTTAGAGTTCTTGTAGGATCGCCTAGAACTTCTATAATCCTGTATAATAGATATTTGAATTTTAGTCTAGGATAAGTTGGTCTATATGACCCAGCATTTTAGAACAGATAACTTCATATTGTGAAAGACTAAATCGTTACGTAACGTAATGCGTTACGACATCACCCTGCCAAATCTATTAGGGGTTCTGAAACACACTTGTGAGGAAATTTAAATATAACAGCAAAACGAGTAATTAATTAAAAAAACTTCTTCTAAATTCATAATAATTTAAAAAATTTAACAGATCCACTTACTCTTGGTAAAGTTTTTCTTGGACCTTTGGATATTTAGCTAAAAGTTTTAAGGTATTACAAATAGCGACTGATGAAGTGTCCGTCCCAGCAAACAGGAATGTCAAGACCTCCTCCCTTAATTCAATGTCAGTTATGCCATCTCTTCTAGACAGTAAGATAAGGTGGTCAAGGAAACATCTAACAGTTTTGACGCTTTCACCTAGAAAATATGCCACTTCAAAACTGTCTGTAGTTCGCGCGTTTAAATAAAATAACTTAACGGTTTAAAACGCGATATATATTAGTTCAACTTATTTTTACTACGGCCCGACGTTACGGATGCCTCGCAGCAGTCATGGTCACGAAGAGACTTCATTTATGAAACTACCAAGGATGTTTTAAAATCGTAATTGTCCTACAATATTTTTTTTATTAATGTTCACAAGTTTAATTGCTTCTACGCAAAGATTAGAAGGAGAATATTTGAAGACTTAATTATTTTGAACATGATGGCATTACGTAAATTAATAATTGATTTTAGATGAAAAAAAAATAAGGCAATAAAAAAATATCGAGTCGGTGTTGGTAATGTTTTCAATCTGAACTCTATTTTTAATTTAAGAAAATATGTTTTTAAATGCTCACTATTGTAACTTTGACATAGCTTTAAACCATGTTTTTTATTTAATATGCAGCTCGGTTAAACTACAGACAACTCTTATTAAACAGTAACTCATTTATTATTTGTTTTTGATTTCCTTGAAATTAGTGCAGTTTGGTGTTATGTTCACACAAACTTCGCAGGATATTGCGAAAAAAATTATCACTGTAAGTTTATTGACTTCCGGTCTTAACTTTTTATTTTATACATTCTAGGCCTCGACACAAAAATGTAAATACATGTAAGGTTCTTTACTTTAAGAAATGTATGCGTCCGGAAAATAAACGAATTGTACTTTAATTTGCATTCATGTATTCGAATTTATTGCTTAACATTTCAGTATTTATAATTACGCTTTCATAAAATGTAATGTACGTTATGTATCTGACTATAATGTGTAAGAATATTGGACTCGTTCTTCATACATACCATTTTGTATTTCTGTCTCATCTGCAATGTTTTCTAAGACTTTCCGCTTTCTTTGGATAATCTGAAATGATTACTGATTGTCGAGCGTTAAGATTTCTGGTTTTCCCAGTACTTTTTGGTTACATATAACAATGCAAAATAGAGTGTTCCCTCAAGTCGATCAAATATAACAAATAATAAGGTTAGGTAAGTAAATGTTAACTTACTTAATTAAGATTTGTTACTAAAAATACATATTTAAAAATTACTTTTATATCATATCATACTTAAATGTTAGGAACCGACCTTGAGCTAAAGATAGCTCAACGCCAAAACACTAAAGTGTGTTGTGAAACACTTAATTAATCTAATTACCGTATAACATCATAAAAAGTTGTTCCCAGACGGATTGCAGAAGTATGATGAATCTTTACTAATATATTAGGCTGAAGAGTTTGTTTGTTTGAACGTGCTAATCTCAGAAACTAGTAGTTCAATTTAAAAAAATATGTTAGGGTTGGTTAGAGCATTTATTAAGGAAGGCTATAGGTTATAAACAAATAATTATATAAATATAATTGCGCGGTAACTAAGAGATACAAAAAACATGATTCCTCTTAAAATGATTTAATAATGTCCAATACACTCTAACATGTCTATCTTTTAAGATTAACTTGCAAGAACGACGGGACGCGTCTGACGTCGTATGTAAAAGCTTAAGTTTATAAAAATCAAGGGAGGTTTGGAAAACAAATTTGGATGCCCAAAATAACTAAAGTCGCTAAAACTGATAGTTGTCTATAAATACAATTTGATAGCGATAGCGCTATGAAGATATATAAAGTGGACACCGCTTTGTGTCCGTTCACAAAGCAGTGTCCACTTTATATATCTTGATGAGAGAGAGAGATATATATATATATCTTACTTACCTCATCCGTGAAATCATATGTAAATTTTTTAGCGTCCACAAATTTCCTATAAGCATCGGTGAATTTATAAATGAAGTCAGACCAATACCAGATTCGAAAAGCTCTGTGAGTAACAAGATCCATTATATCTGTGGACTTTTGTAGAAAGTCGTGTTTTTTCTGTTTGATCAAAGTGTTGTCGTCAATGCCGAATGCAGTCTCTGGAATAAGGTATAGTAATAAGAAGTCGTTCCTGATTTTGAGATTTAGTTGTCTCTTTTTAAAGTTACGCAATTTTTACGTATTTTTTTAACTTTGCTAATAATTTAAACATTGTTTTTCTTTGGTCTTTTCAATCGTGGACTTATCTTGATGATGGGTAAATAAATACCCAGCCTATCTTAAACAAGATGCGCTATTGACTTATTTTGGCATTGGATATTCGGAAATCTAAGTGACCAACATGTTTAGAAAATCACGGCGAATAGTACATTTATTAGAAAAATGTTATCCAGAATTTTGAAGGATCCAACCCAACACCCGTTGTTTATTAGCCGCACATTGATACCATTAAACCAACGGGCCCGGCAAAAAAGCAATTAGCAACTAGGCCCGGTAGATTTTTATTTATCAATACAATGTGAAACTAACAATCTTTTAATTATATACTGTCTGTTGTTTACGAAAGTGTAGTACACATTTAAATAAAACACTTTAACGGTTTAAAACACGATATATTTTAGTTAAACTTTTTTCAGCAGCCGTGGTCACGGGGAGACAGTCTCGTGACCACGGCTGCTGCAAAGCATCCGAAACGTCGCGCAGTAAAAATAGACCTCAAAAAAGTTTAACTAAAATACATCGCGTTTTAAACGTTAAAGTGTTTTATTTAATTCTTCCAAATATTAAAAAACGTCTTACCAAACAACACTTCTATGCTGTATTCAAATATATGCGACCAAGCTTGGAACGGTCCAGTCCCAACGCGGTTAGCAAGTGAGAGCCGTTCGCTTAAATTATCACTTCTTTGAATCAGAATATCGATGTAGCTGTTGATAATCTTCGGACTAAATGCTGGAACTGTTAACTTTCTACGCCTTGTCCATATGGATACTATGAAATAAATTATATTAAAATACTGTTAAGCAAGTTATAAGTAGTGTGAGATCTAGACATTATTCTAGGGGCATAAAGATATTTATTGAAAAAAAAATGTCCGCAAACAGATCAGCCAAGTGACCAGGCAAAAACTTTGTTGTGATTTTAATATAGAACGTAACGCAATATGTAACGTCTGCAACATTGGGTAATGTTACGCACTAAGTTACGTATCTTTAAAACCCTGGGGGGGGGTTTTTTTTTTTTAAAAGGGCCCCCCCCCCCCCTTTTTGTGTTTTTTTGGCGGCGTGTTTTTTTTTTTTTTTCCCCCCCCCCCCCCTTTTATCTTTTTCCCCCCAAAGACATTATTTAGTATTTCCCAGTTGCCCTTTTAAACCTAAAGTACGTTCAAATATGTGGTTGGACACCGTTTTATTATATATATCTGTATTAAGCCTCATCCTAAGTCTATATTAATATATAAAGTTATATAATATATAAAGAGTTTGTTCATTGGTCCGAATTGGTGCGAATTGAAATAATAATTTTGTTGGTGAGAGCATTTATCGAGGAAGGCTTAATAAAACATACACTGTACGAGTAACCGCGGGAAATGTGACAAAACGGGGAAAATTTTTGTCATTTATCTCAGGTACCGATGCGCACGCTGCGAAAACTGTTCAACATACCAAAAAATATGTAGAAATAATGATTCCACTTTGAATGATCTAAAAAATATCCGTGACACTATTCGTCTATATTTGTGGGCAACCGTGTTCTACCGTGATAATTATTTTTACCCTTATGTACTATGGCGGTCGCTCGCAATCTGTAACGCGCCAGTGACTTTAAATATTGCCTGAACATAAATATTTTTTGTATACCTGGCGCAAAAATTCCTGCGTTACCAATGACGGTCCGAAGCAGCCAAAGAAGGTTCGGCTTATCTAGCCTTTTCTTTAGAATAAACTCGGTGTCGTTTGCATCTGATAAACCTAAACACGAAATTGATTAGAAAAAAAGAGGTTACAAAGACAGTATACAATTTTGTATTTGTAACTTCTCTAGTTTTATAAAAGGGAACTCAACTCTCCTAAAAAAAATTTGCAAAGAAACTTTAGTCAAGAGTTTAACAATAAACAGTACCCATTGGCATGCTTATGTATACACTAAGTAATAAATATTCTATAGTAAATTTGGCACTTACCAACAAATAAAACAGGGCCCACCCAAAATTTTATGATTCCTCCATTTTCCATACCAAATGAGCTGTACAATTTTAAGAAATGGATGATAGCTGAAATTAAAACATAGGTCGAATTGTTTGTAACTGGACTTCAATACAATCAACATACCACCTCATATCGATGTATTGTCTTAGCGATAAAAGTATATACAATTTATCTGTAACACACCCCAGAAATACATATTAACAAGAATGAGTGATGACCACCTTTCTTTGCGAAGCATTGAAACTGAACTGAAACTGAACTTTATTAGAGCGTACACTGCGACATCAGGCAAACTCACTTTTGTGTCTAATTCACTATCTAAGACATCTAAACCGACGAACAATATGGTTCAGCATTGTAACAACGTTTTTCATCCTTATGTTAAAACTATGTATACTTTTACTGTCTATTAATTGAATTAAGAAAAAGTGAATACTATAACATATATTCCAAGTATCGGTAGTCCCGGCCAAGTTAACGCACGATACAGACACATTTCTGTTGCTTTACGATCTCTCACGATGACGTTTAAAAATTGAATAAAACGGTTTAAAACACGATATATTAGTTAAACTTATTTGAAAATGCTTTTTAACTTCGGCCCGACGTTTCGGATGCTTTGCAGCAGCCGACATCCTCGGGGAAAAAAAGGGGGGGGGTCTCTGGAGGCAAAGAAAGAGACGTTAGCGTAGCAAATTTTTACTTTGACGTAGAGACATCTTTGGTCTCCCCGCGACCACGGCTGCTGCAAAGCATCCGAAACGTCGGGCCGAATTAAATATTATTTTCAAATAAGTTTAACTAATATATATCGCATTGTAAACCGTCAAAGTGTTTTATTTAAATGTGTACTACTCGCGTAAACAATAGACAGTATATAAAAGTTCCTGTCCTTCTGAAATAGTCTATAATGTCTTCCCAGACCACGAACTGAGGAACTCCTTTGCATACGACAACCCATATAGCTAGCGATAAGACGCTTCTCCGGCTTCGTGTTAACGACACGCTGACCATGATCACCAAAGTCGGCCAAGACCCTGCACCAGTCCCCGCGACACCGCTAGTGCGGGAGAGGTTTTCTGCAAGCCAAATAGTATAGAGTTCGCTTACTTGATGGCAAGTCATTGTTGTTTATCGTGTATTGCACCACACCAATAAACGGATACTTTGTTTTCGGCTCGGGAATACGAGCAGCCAACTCGTAAAGGCGTTTCCTCTTCTGCCTAAAAGTTAAGTACCAAAGCACAGCAGCACAACACAGGAGCAAGGCGATCATCTTGATACCACCACCGGCACCAACCGTGTGATCAATAGCGTTTATTTCAGTTCGTTTTAAAATGATAATTTAGATCGACCTTCGCTTTTTTTACAAATCCGATGTGACGAATTGTTTTGATTCAAATTTTTAAGAAATCGTATATTTAAGTATTACTTTGCGAACTCTGTATTTAAAGAAATTAAGAAACCAAAGACGTTCGCAACACTTGGTCTGTGGTGGGGTATTTTAAAATTTATAATCTATATCTACCAAGTATATAGTAAGTGAGAAGAGAAGAGTTTTATTAAACATATGTTTTATTTATTATTATATAAATAAGAGAGAATTAAGAAAATGCGAAGGTACTGTGTAATTTTGTCCAATCGGTGTTTTTTACAGGCAAGTATGGAGACTTATTTTTTTTCATGATGACATTATATAAATTAAAATCGATTTTAGATTGAAAAAAAATCCACGATACGGGCGAGCAGAAAGCCTCGCCCCTGTCATACGTTTTTAATTGTTTCTTATTATAACAATTATGTACAAAAATACACAATAAAAAAAAAAATAATTAAAGTCATATTTTTTGTATTCAAAGGGTAATTAATGCTTCTTATATTATTTAAGTGTCACTGTAACTTTCCAAACAAGAGTAACCCAACCTATGTATTATAACAATATACAGTTGTTTGAAAACTTTATTATTTTTTACATTAATTATATTGCACATGAGAGCACTATATAATTTAAAAATCGAAAATAAATGGAAAAATATTTCTACTCGGGTAGGGCTCGGTAGCTCCAATGGTTAGAGCAACAGTACGGAACGCTGGATGCTCAAATCCTGCGAGTGTCATAATCTAAAATCGCTTATCAATTTAGGGGGGGGGGGGGCCAAAAAAAAAAAAAAAAGTGGTGGGGAAAAAAAAAACCCCCAAAAATTAAAAAAACCCCCCCAGGGGGGGGGAAAACAAAAAAGGGGGGAAAAAAAAAAAAAAAAAAGGGGGGGCCCGAAAAAAAAAAAGGGGGGCCCGGGGGGGGGGGGCCAAAAAAACAAACGAAAAAAACCAATTTATTAAAATCGCACTATCGAAAAAAAAAAAAAAAAAAAAATTATTTATAAAAGTATTTTTGAAAAAAAAACAGAACAGAAACAAAATTTATTTTGAGTAGTTTTATTTTAACATAACAACATGTGTTTTTACTTTTTTAAGACTAAACTTCACTACAGTTTGACATTTACAGGAAATCAATACTAGGTATGTAGGGGGTTACCCAACAGGGAAAAACATGGCAAGGGGTCTACGACACAAAAAAGTGTTGGGGAACTCTGGTCTCCGGTACATCAGCGCGTGAGGTCGGGAGTTTGATAGCCCAATGTAAACTTAAATATATCTTAGACATTACAGGTTCTCATCGCATCTCTAGCCCTATCTCATAATCGTCCCTTGCCTTCATCATGATATTGAAAGAACAGTCCATATGAGGAACAGGACCTGACTCTTCTTCGCCGGTTATTCTGTATCGTCGTAAAATCGCTGTTAGCGCTAGTTTAATTGACATATAGGCGAATTGGGTACCTGAAAGAAAACATATTTGACACGTTGATCTAATGGTAGGAATGGTATGTGCATGGCTAATAATCGTCCTCGTGGGTTCAATCCCCACCGGGTCCAACATTTTTATTTTTCAATTTATTATATTTAAGAAACGTGACATATTGAATGGGTGGTAGGAATATTTGAGTCCGAGTCACGAACTACCACCACAGATGAAAAAGCCGTGAAGCGTAATCGCGTTTCGATTTCAGTCTGTGGATTTCCGAATATCCAAAGCCAAATTAGGTCGACAGCGAATTTTATAGGTATAGATGTTATATGACTAGGGTATTAAACCTCCCATTACGTGAGCCCCATGCTTATCTCCTTTATCATTAAAAAAAAGAGTAGAGAAGAGAGTTTAATTTTTACTAGCTGTGCCAGTCGTCAGGCAGTGGACAGTGACTTGGGGTAGAATTTGTAATTATTGAGGCTGTTTTTAATTTATGTAGGGGCGCATTTCTTCTATGTTATAAGTTACTTTGTCGCAACACTCTCCCCTCACATCACTCCTACTCTTACTCCCACTCCCAAAAAGCCAAAGAAGAAAGTTTCATTGTTCTAGCTTCAAAAACCACGAATTTCCATAGAAACATTTTTTTCAACCCCTTTCAAAGTATTAAAGTAACCTATGTCCTTTCTCAGGCTCTAAAATATCTGTGTACCCAATTTCATTAAAATTAGTTCAGTAGTTTCGGAGTTAAAGCCGGACAGACAGACGGACTGAATTCCGCATTTGTTATATTAGTATAGATTATTACGTTATTTAAAATGGGTTAATATTCGTTTATCAGGACGTAACGAAAGAAAAAACCGTCACAACTGTTTAAAAATATGCTTCAGTTAAGTACAAAATAAACAAATTGCGCTGTCGACCTATTTTGGCTCGAATGTGTTCGTTGGTCATGAAAAAAATCTAAGAACGCATCTGAGTAACGATATTCACTGTATTCGTTTCGGTACACGGTACTTAGTAACGAATCCTAGTCATATATAGGTATACATACCAATGCAGTTCCTTGGCCCACAGCTAAATGGAATGAACAGCCCTACTTGTCGCTCCGGGAGAAATCTATCTGGATCAAAGCAATCTGCATCTCGGCCCCAGAATTTCGGGTCACGACTGGCGGCCCATACGCCGATAAAAATATGAGATCCCGTGGGCAATATTTTACCTGATGCTGCAATTATTTCAAGAAAATGAAAACCGGTTATTACTGTATTGCATAATAAATCATGTTACGTGTGTGTGTTAAGTGTATTAGTTTCAAAAATCGACTTTAGATTTTTACAACACGGGCGGGGGGAAAATCGACTACAATTTGAACCTCCATCCACAGCGTTCCGTGCTCCAACTAATTGGACTACCGTGTACCACACGTCCTTTTTTTTCAACCCAAATCAGTACAAGCACCTCTCTCGCAAAATTGTCAAAATTTTTTTCAATTAAAAATCGATTTTTAATATATAAAACGCCATTATGAGTTCTTATGTGTATAGGGCGTTGTCTAACATTGAAATATACTGATTTCAAATCCCGGGGAAAAATAGGAAACAGCGAGTTGTCAAATGTTAGGAGTAGCACTGAAATGTGTTAGTTAACATTTGACATTCATTCCAAAGTGCTAAGACTGAAATTTTAGCAGGGAACGCTGACGATGCCGGTTCAAATCCTGCCAGAGGTTTCAATTTATTTTCGATTTTAATTCTACTTACGTAATTCTGTTTCCTCGTGGACTTTCCTAAGTGTAATTGGTGCAGGTGGAAATAGGCGTAGCGATTCTTTTAATACTCGTTCTAGATATTTAAGTTGGGGCAAATCGTCCTTGGTAATCGTTCTTTTGGGATCTCCTAATACTTCCATTAGCCTGTTACGAAATTTTAAAGTATAGGTCGTGGTACAGATGTTTAGAGCTGAACGAAATGTAGAGGGATAGTTGCGCATCGGTACAATCGCGCACGTAATTTATTGGAAAACGTAAATGTACTCGAGAAGCAAGCGGAGCGTCGTATTGCTCTGTGAAAGACAACACAACTGGGGAACCAATCAACGCTAGCGCACGTGACGTTCACTCGCCCTGCGCCCGCTTCCGTCCCTTTGATACCTTATTTTTGTCTTCTGCGCAGGATTCGTTCAGCGCTAAAGATCCGTGCCGCTATTTATAATTATTTTTAAAGTAACAATCAAATGTTAGAGAATTTCTTGTAATATCGTCGCCTTCGCGTCGCCATTTTGTTTTGCAATGGTTTCACAGTATTCTACAAGTATCTAGTAGGCTTCTTTTACTAAAATTTTTAAATTTTTTTCCCTCCCTGTTATGTGTTCATAGATCATCCTATTTACATACACTTGATTTTTTATCTGTTGTAATTTATACAAAATTACTTACTCATCATACAGCTTTTCCTGAACTTTGGGATATTTCGCTAACAACTTGAGTGTGTTACAAATGGACACTGACGAGGTGTCGGTTCCACCAAATAAGAATGTCAAAACTTCTTCTCTTAATTCTGTATCAGTGATTTGTTCTGCTCTTGATAAGAGAATGAGATTATCCAGGAAACACCTAACAGTCTTGCTAACACCTGAAATTGACTCCACTGTACTGAGCACAACATCTTACGTAATAAATCAAGAAATTATATAGCATGAAATAAATGACTGTCTGTAGTTTTAACTAATATAAATAGCGATTTAAGCCGTTAAAGTGTTGTATAGAATAGCTTATTACTCCTAATCTTCTTTTTTATTACAAGAGAACAGAGAAGCGCGGGCTTCACTTATTGAAGGAGAAATACCCTAACTTATTTGCCACCGCACTAATGAAGCAAGGTAGGTTTTATTGTGTTTGAAAGAAGATGTCTGAGCCCAACAGTGGGACAGAGGCTTAAGTGACTACAATGACATATTTACCGTTTTGTAAATGAGCATCTTCAATCTCGACGTTTTCTAACTCTTTCCTTTTTCTTTGAATAATCTGTAAGAGTATTTTTAATCATAAAATATTAGACGTGTGGACGATTTTTCTTAATTCTTCAAGCAATCGAGAAGTTAATATCTCCTGAGGATGCCGTCCACACGTGATGGCGAAACGTCGAGAACCTTCTCGCTCACATCGGCCGAACAGCCCGAAAGACAATGATATGCATTACTTAAATGGTCTAAAAACATTAGCTTACCTTATCTGTGAATTCATAGGTAAATTTCCGTGATTTTATAAATTGAGAATAGTCTTTAGTCCACTTATAAATGAAGTCTGGCCAGAGCCAAACGCGTAACCCTCTATGTGTGATCAAAGCTAGGAGTTTTGTGGATTCTTCTAAAAATTTCTTCCTTTCTGGATTTGACCCATTGTCAGTTATTCCAAGTGCTGTCTCTAGAAAAAAAACTCATCGCCATAACTAAAAAATCTAGTTAAGGATGCACAAGCGTGTTTTTAAATAACTATACAACATGTATTTCCCCCCTTTCTTTGGCTTTGGACATTTGGAAATCCTCTGATTAAAACCATTGTTAGCAATTGCAGTACTTCACTTCATGGCTTATTAATCTCTGGACGGTGGTAAATCGGACGGTATTTTCCACCCATTCATTGTATAAAATGTTCACATGCGGTTTTAAAGAGTTACCGAAGAAATATAAATTTTTCTGTTTAAACTTGATGTAAAGATTAATTATTAGCCACTTATTTACATTATAAACTTATTTTTATATTATTTAAACTAAAACAAAAATGTTTCCTTATCAGTATATTATAACAATAACATTATTAACAACGCTAATGTTACGTAAAAAACGCTTCACGATGTTATGTGAAAAAATGAAAATGAAATAAACAAACGAACAAAATAAAACATGATACTAACCGAATATGGTATCCAGGGTGTACGAACTTACATGAGACCAGGCTTTGAAAGTACCGGTACCGACAAGGTTTTCCACCGAAAAGCTTTGTGCCAAATTTTCACTTTTCTCAATGAGTACATCTATGTAACTATTGATTATCCTCGGACTGAACGCCGGAACTGTTAGTTTTCTGCGTCGTACCCATATGCTCACTACAAAAAATACAAATAAATACGTCATATAATGTCCACCAATATGGTGGGGCATGGGGCCAATAAATTTATATGTCAGTTTTACTGACCGGTTCTTTCACAAGCAAGTAGTGATTAGACTCCTGTACCCTCCGAAACAATCTATTGTTTCCCTGGGATTCGAACACAGGACCTCTAGCCTTTAACATAATACTAGGCAACATGTTTAACAATTTAGTTACAGAGGCGGCTGAAGGAATACAACATGCGAGCTATGTTATACGTCTAATTATATACTTTTAAAATAAATTAGAGATTAAAAAAGACGTCGTGAGAGATGCATATAAAGGCTCAAAACTAAGGATGAAAATTTCGATGATGAAGACTTAGCTTACTCAGTAGACTAACAGAACGGAGAAATGTGGTCGTAGGTTCGTGTCCTGTCAGCGTCATGACATGTTTTCAATCTAAAATTAGTTTTAAATCTATAAAGAAACGCTTTTTTATAATTTTCTAATCTAAATTATCATAGATATGTACTTACTATTGTAAATTTACTACCCAAATTGGTTAAAAGTATAAACTACAAATTCTCACTAGACAGTATTGTATAGAGTTTTAATTTTTGTAAACATTATAACATTCTTAAAAGTGAAGGAGAGAATTTTTTCTATCGCGCAACCGTACCATTGAATTACTTTACAAAACGAAAGAGGCATAAATAAATACGTAAAATTCACCTGGCGCAAATATTCCGGCATTTCCAATGACGGTCTGAAGTAACCAAAGAACGTTTGATTTTTCCAGACATTTTCTTAATACGAATTCCAAATCAGTTGGATCAGTTATACCTGAAAATTTCACAATATTTTTCTTACTTTGCATTTTCCAAAGCTTACACTTGATTTACACTACACTTTGATCCACTGGATGACATATTCAACTAATAAAGCTATGTAAAAACCACTAAACTACTAAAAATGAATTCAACCACATGAACAGTACAAAATCTCCACTCAAAAAGTATTTAATTAAAAAAAAAGCGCGGTTTAAAATAGCAGATCATATAAGTGCCATTTTTCCTAGGTATTATATTATACTATAGTATTTTTTATATTACCAACAAATAAAATTGGCCCGGCCCACAGTTTTATAAGACCTCCTTGCTTAACAGCGAACGTACTGAAGAGTTTAATAAGGTTCATCATATCTGGAAAAAAAAGTATATATACTCAATTATAGGCTCCCCTTTCCAACATTATTTTAAGTTCCGAATTCCGAATATCCAAAGCCAAAATATGTGTGTGAAATAAATGGTTTAATTGTTACACGGCCGCTGCAAAGCATCCGAAACGTCGGATTAAAAAATAACTTTCAAATAAGTTTAACAAATATACATCGCGTTTTAAACCGCGAGTGTGTTATTTAAACGAATGGTTTAATTACACTTTTTAGTAGCTGGCTCATTTACAAGTATAAAATAAAAATAAAATAAAATATACTTTATTCTCAGTAAAATTAATAAAATATATTTAGATTCGTCAAAAAAAATTAAATAATATGTTTTACAGTCCGTTCGTCGCGATTCTACAAAGTGTTCAAAAGAGCAACATTACCGAGAAGAACACCCAAGAAACTCAGTCTGGTTTTTTTCAACATGTTTTACAAACTAATACATTTTTGTGAATTTAATGATAGATCACTAAATTCATATCAATGCCAGGCAGCCCTGTCATTAAAGAAGTCTTTAAAACAATAATACGCCTTTTGAGACGATCTAAATTTTACTTTTTTGAACTTATTTATTGATAAATTTGAAACCTCAACTGGCAATGGTATACATACGAATACAATTCCCTGGAAATGAATTAGATATTTTATGGAGCCTATATTTGGGGATAGCTAGGTTATCCTTATTTCTCAAGTTCAAATTATATCTATCACTATTAACATAGATAATATTTCAAAGTTTGTTATAAAAAAGAACAACTGTGTGTGTGTGTGTATATCTATAGTAATTGTGCAGTTAAATTAAAATAAGGTTTTCATTACTATGTAAAAAGGCTACATTGTTAATTTAATCAATAATATCAAGGCTGTACATAGTAGTTATCATAATTAGTGCTATTGGCCCTTAAATATATACTCTTTGAGAACCAGATTTGGTGGTACTCTAGTAAACTGTATCGTATAATAATTATTAAATAAGTCGTAATATTTACATACATAATAGAATACAATTAAATTCTACACTTTTATTTATTCTTTTTATGATGTATAAAAAACTGTTACTTGGTTTTATTTGTAGTAAATAAACAAAATTTAACGTTATTGCTTGTAATATTGTGTATTTATAGGCTCTTATAATAAATATTAAAAAATATTGATAGTAAAAAATAAAATTTATTTATTGTTTTTTGTTTAAGTGTTTATTATTTTTTTGTAAGTTATTTCAGCGGCAACAGAACATAGTGAAAATTAAATCGCAAGCTATCAACAGGTAGAAAGTCAGCGCAGTAACAAAGTTCCTTAGTTTCCAACAGTGTATGTTGAATACGAAAACTGCGATAAGCGAAACTTACTATAAAAAATATTACTTTTAAATAAAAACTTTAACAGTTACGATTTTACACGATACAGTAAATTTTATTTTGAAATTATTCTAACGACGGCCCGACGTTTAAGACGTTTTGCAGACCCTGGGTCTTTCTCGCTCCCTCCCAGGGGGGCTGTCCCGACCACGGCTGCTGCAAAGCAACCGAAACGTCGGGGCCTAGTTAAAATAATTTACAAATAAATATAACTAAATTACACGTTAAAACGTTAAAGTGTTATATTTAAATTTGTACTACACGCGTAAACTACAGACACTATTAAAAATACTTACTGAACGACGGGTCTTCGAAACTTATTGTGTATTGTAGTGCCCCGATAAACGGGATCGGCATCGGCGCCTCCGGGATAAGGGCGGCCAGCTCGTAAAGCCGTCTCCGCTTGAACCTGAAGGATATATAGCAGAGCACAGCAGCCACGAATAGTAGAACTGCAATCATCTTTCTTGGAGAACTGTTACCGAGCAAATAGTTGAAAATTTCTGTGTCGCACGTACATATAATATTGTACAACCTTCAGAACTTAAATGGTCAAGCTAATAGGTCCGCTTATTAATCAACGTTTTAGAATATGCGACTTGGACTCTTGAGGTAAAACAATGATAATTATATATTGCTAGCTGCACCCGCGACTTTGTCCACGTGGAGTAGTTATTTTGGGCACCATATTTATTATTTACCATTTATTTTTGTAAACATCGTCAGCTTTATAAATTAGGCTGTTACCCACGACGTCGACTACGTCCCGTCGCGTCGTTGTGAGTCATTCTTAAAAAAAACACATTATACTGCCGCTGATATATATTCTTTACCTATAAAAATCAAAAGAAACAAAATAATATCTAATTTCACCATTAATTACTGTTTCTGTTGGTGATTGTTATAGGACATAGGAGGATAGTTGGGCCTGTAGTTTAGATATCCCAATTTTAGCCTCATATATTAATTTAAATTAAATGGATTTCTATTTAACAGAAGTAACTTAAAGATATCTAAATAGAAAACTAACATACTTATAGATATTCAGAATATCCAAAGCCAAAGAGCGCATCTTGTGTAGATGTTATACGCCTGTGGTATTTCACATCTCATCAAGTGAACCACGAGCATTTTCTAATACATCATTGTAAAATATCGTTTGATTTAAACAAAACACTTTAACGGTTTATAACGCGTTATATTAGGTCACGGTCACGGGGAGACCAAGGCTGCTGCAAAACATCCGAAACGTCGGGCCGAAGTTAAAAATCATTTTCAAATAAGTTTAACTAATAAATCGCGTTTTAAACCGTTAAAGTGTTTTATTTAAATGTGTACTACTCGCGTAAACTATAGACAGTATTTAATAACCATTTGAATTTGTAACTACAATCCTTTGAATGTGTATAAAAATCCTATGTTCATGTGTATTTTATTCAATATACTGAATTACGAACAATATAATGTTTTTGCTTATCTTCATAAAAACTTGTCATTCAAATTGTCTTAATAATGACATACCTAGACATCACAATGTTTTACGAACAAAATTAATATCTCGTTATGTCATCAACTGTCATAAATAATTTGAGTTTCGAATAAAGTTTTAACGTTGCGTCATTGTGCTTGATTTTTTTTTATATTTACGACAAAGTAGGACAGACAAGCACGGCGGTCATGTGACGAAAGGTGAAATATAGCATTTACTATTTTAGCTAACAATAAGTAGTCAAAACCCTATTTAGATTAAAATCAATTACGACAAGGGCGGTACAATACCGGCTACCGCGTCTAGTTTGTAAGATCAACAGCTCAGAACGATGTGGATGCCCGTTCAACTCCCGCTGTGTCGTAATTCATTCTTTAGTCAAACAGATTATTACATTATATAAAGCCATTATGTGCAAAATATTAAAGTTTCCATACATTTAGGAATATATAGCCTGTAACGGATTTACAATTACATTTTACGGCGTTTACATTTGGGAACGGTTTTTTGTGACACGGGCGGAGTTACAAAAAATATACAGAGGGAATATGTATTATAAAAATGAAGCCAATGGGAATCGAACTCATTGATCATTTAATAAAAAGCCCTTCAAATATGTAATAAAACCATTAAAATAAAACTGCATAGAACAAATTTGAAGCAAATTGCTTCGTTTTTAACTCATTCAAAATAGATATAGTTTAAGCGTTTTACTGATGTAATCTGTGGATTAAAGATATTCAGTATAAACCAATTTATGCACAAACCCAAAAAAGCTATAATCACTGACATTATTATATTCCTAAACTTTTTCTGTATTACCAAATTATTTTGAATTCCCTATGTTCAATTACAGACCTTGACTTTGAAGTAGATATTATAATGAAGTATAATCTTTTTATCAAGTTCCTAAATCCTAAAATATTATTTATTATATAATTGGTATTGCGCACACTGTGGATATATATCTATTTATTTTTCTCTGGACGAAATTAAATAAGTATCTTTTGACAGGGTAGTTGGTGTTTGGGTTCGATTCCGTTTAAAAGTCTGTTATTTCCTCATTGGGTCCTTGACACTAAGTACTGTCTAGAAATACGAGCCGTGAAAACCAGTACCTATACTGGTTTTCACGTTAGCGCATTTTATCATGATGTTAGAGGGTTGTGCCATTTCATCTTGAATGAAGTAGACTCCGTGCGTGTATTTCCTTCTTACAACTCAAATTACTTGCAGGAGCGTCAAGTCATAAAATGATCAATAAAACAAAATAACACACATCGTTTCCTCAGATCTCTTATTCGTTACCTAAAACGCAAACATACAGTAATTTGAAAAAGAAGGAAATAAAAAAAAATAACAAAGCAGGAAAATAAGGTTTATTTATTTCTTTCCGTGAGTCATACAACTTATTAAAAAAAAACTCTAAACATCGGGGAGTAGTTAAAAATAAGTAAACTAAAATATTTCATTTTTAAATCGTTATGTAATGAGTAAATAATAATGTTCAACAATTTATCTGTACAATTTAATTATAATGCATCATACGAGAATTACGAAGAAAAGATAAGGATAATTTAAGATTTATAAATCTTATTATATAATATAAGCTGAATTTTGAGTTCTCATTTTATTGACCTTGACTGAAGGTCACACGATCTTGATCATAACCCAGAAAGAACTTGCTACATTTTTGCGTGAACGTATAATATGTTGTTTTTTAAATTACATAAATTGGCTGTTTTGAGTCATGTATGTTGAGGCGTTATGTAGACTTCAATATATTATGTTATATGACAAAGAGGACGGTATTTATCTTCTATCTTCCTACTGCCATATTAATGCCCAGATATTTAAAAGCGCTAGCATTTTAGGCATGCATTTTTGTCAAATTGTAACTGTTTAAAACGCAAACTTAAGATTTTTCAATTAGGACACCATTTTTTAGATGCGAACTAAAAAACTAAACTAGATGGCTTGTAAAAATTTTACTTTGACACAGGGACGTCGACCGTGATCAGAGCCGCTGTCAAGCAATTGAAAAATGGAGTCGTTGATAAAAAATCTATTAGCCGTTGTATAATATTTTTAACTTGAAAGTTTCACATTAGTTACAACAATTTTCAGCGGCCGTGGTCACGAGTGCACGGCTGCTGCAAAGCATCCGAAACGTCGGGCCAAAGTTAAAAATCATTTTCAAATAAGTTTAACTAATATATCGCGTTTTAAACCTTTAAAGTCTTTTATTTAAATGTGTTCTACTCGCGTAAACTATAGACAGTATTTTAAAAAAGCTATAATAACTGACATTATTATATTCCTAAACTTTTACTATATTACCAAATTATAAATCGGGCCAAAGTTTAAAATCATTTTCAAATAAGTTTAACTAATATATCGCGTTTTAAACTGTTAAAATGTTTCATTAAATTTTAAATCAAATTTTTCAAACGGATTAAGAATAAAACAAAATGAATAAATTACAACGGGGTCAGTGACACAAACCAATCGGAACAGTATTATGTAAATGTTTAACGAATGTATCTTTTAAATACAAATTTGTATCCGTCGTTTATGCAAATAGTATATGTTTATCGTAGATAGATTATGAATGAAGTCAATAAATCTTGGAATTAATTGGAAAATTTAAATAAAATATTTCTAACGGTTTAAAACGACAAACATATTAAAAAATAAAAAATGTGATATACTTCGCGTTTTAAACCGCTAAAATTGTATTATGTTTCATTTAATACTCTCGTAACGTACAGACAAGATCTCATCGTTTAATATAGTAATCGAATGAGTTAACAGCTGTTTTTTTGTCTATAGTGTAAGCGCTATTTTCGAAAATATATAATTACCTTAAAAGAAATCCTACCAATTCGAGTCGATGATTGTAAGGAGACAATAAAAAAGTATTTGAAAGACTTAGATTTTATTAATATTTATATTACAGGTATTACTAAAATTTTTGGTACATTTTTTTTTGTTAGACATGTTATTTAATGACACTTCATATTTGCTTAACACTTTTGTTGTAAATCAATTTACACTAATATGTTAAAATGCAGAGTTTGTTTATTTTAACGTATTAATCTCAGGAACTGCTGGTTCTCTAAAATGCTCACTATAATGCGAACGATTGTTTTAAAATTCGCATTTTAAAACAACTGTTCGTATTAAAAGTCTATTTCGTTTTAAATAAAACACTTACGATAACGATAAATATTAGTATAACTTAGATACTGTCTGTAGTTTACGCGAGTAGTACACATTTCAATAGAACACTTTAACGGTTTAAAACGCGATATATTAGTTAAACTTATTTGAAAATGATTTTTAACTTCGGCCCGACGTTTCGGATGCTTTGCAGCAGCCGTGGTCACGGGGAGATCATTTTCAAATAAGTTTAACTACTATATCGCGTTTTAAACCGTTAAAGTGTTTTATTTAAATTAGTATAACTTATCCCCATCGTCATTATTATCAGCCTTGGTCTCCCACGACTGCTGTAAAGCATTCAGAACGTCGGGCAGTAGTTAAAATAATTTCCATATAAGTTTAAATAATATATATCGCGTTTTAAAGCGTTAAAGTGTTTTATTGAAATGTGTACTACTCGCGTAAACTACAGACAGTACTTAACACTCCGGTTATTAGAAAAATACTTGTAGAATACACTGTCAAATTTATAAAACAAAATGGGCATCTCACTGTGGAACATGAGTTACGTGTTTAAGCGCTAATATATCTTATAAAAACTGTATTTTGCATTGCTTCTTCTATCGCACCTCTAACCCAATTTCATAGTCGTCGTTTGCCTTCATCATGATGTTAAAACTACAATCCATGTGCGGTGCTGGACCCTTCTCCTCTTCTCCAGTTATTTTGTAGCGACGTATTAAAGCCGTTATCGCTAACTTGATCGACATAAAAGCAAATTGTGTGCCTAAAATCAAATATAACTTGAAAACTTTAATATTTTTCACATGTTATTGCACATAATAACACACAACCGCACGGAACGCTATGGATGCCGGTTCGAATCCCGTCCGAGTCGTATTTTTTTTTTCAATTTATAATCGATTTTTATTTTTTTTCCCGCGTTTTAAATTGAAAATATGATTATACGGGCAGAACTTGAACCGGCTACCACGGCGTTCCGTGCTATTACGCTAACCACTATAGTTTTATGTAACTTGACTACGTTACACATACCTTGTGCGCTTTACATAAAAAATAGCTGGCGTCGTTATTGATATAAATATATGCCTTGTTTACCTATGCAATTCCTTGGACCACAGCTAAATGGTACGAATAGACCAGTCGGTCGATCTGGGAGGAATCTGTCTGGATCAAAGCAGTCTGCGTCTGGTCCCCAGTGTTTGGGGTCACGACCCGCTGCCCATATGCCGATGAATATATGGGTGTCGGCTGGTAAAATTTTACCTGAGGCTGCAATGTATAATTTTAGTAGAAATTCAAATAGAAATGACCAATAATATGTATTTAAATAAAACACTTTAACGGTTTAAAACGCGATATGTTAGTTAAACTTATTTGAAAATGAGTCTCCCCGTGACCACCGCTGCTGCAAAGCATCCGAAACGTCGGGCTGAAGTTAAAAGTCATTTTCAAATAAGTTTAACTAATATATCGCGACTTAAACCGTTACAGTGTTTTATTTAAATGTGTACTACTCGCGTAAACTATAGAGTATAGACAGTATTTAATAATATGTATTTCTCAAACTTTGATATTCTGTGCTTTATTTTGACAATTATCTTTAAGATAAATCGAACTTGCTGTACTAGTCGAGCAGCGGCCGGCAATAGTTTTATGAAAATCTGTCGTGTTTAGCGAAATAAATTACTATGTAAAATATAACGTGTAATTGAAAAATGAAACGATCTTTTACTCCGCAACATGGCAACAGAAGAGGTAACTTGTCAAAGGTTAAATTAAATTTAAATGTCGAATTGGCTTGCCTTTCCTGTGATTACTGTGGAAAGGTATCGTAGGTGCGTGTACCCTACTTGCTTTCTTGTTAATAAAGGACATACAAACGCGTTTATACTACTATAGATAGCTCCATATATAGATTTTCCAATCAGTCATAAAATATACAAAAATTTTAAAAAATCGAAAATAAATTGAAAAAAAATTCGACTCGGGCTGGACTTGAACCGGCATCGTCAGCGTTCCGGGCTGTTGCTCTACCGATTGAGCTACCGAGTCAAAAAAAAAATTTTTTTCCATTTAATTTTCGATTTTTAAATTATATTGTTAGTGCCTTCATGTGCAATAATGTTATTGTAAAAAATAATAAAGTTTTCAAACGATACAAAATGTTGTCGAAACATGACGGTCTTGGCATGATTATTAACCGCACATTGCTACCATTATGAATCGAATCTACGACCAGTTAATTATTAACCATACATTGTAACGATTACACTAGCGCGTAATTTAATAACTTACGTAATTCAGTTTCCTCGCAGATTTTCCTCAAAAGAATTGGCGCAGGTGGAAAGAGACGAAGGGACTCTTTTACAACTCTTTCTAGATACTTCAGTTGTTGGAGATCATCTTTAGTAATGGTTCTTGTGGGATCACCCAACACTTGCATTATTCTAAAAAATAAAATAATATCAGACAAGTAGTTGAAAAAATTTGATTATATTTGATGGGTTTATAATCTGCCTTTGACAACGCTATTTCAAGCTGTTAATTTTATGTCATAATTAGTTGTAAGTTCTGAATTAATAAATTATTATTATATATGACTGCTTAAACATGTTGTCTAGCTTAGCATTAAGCACGAGAGGTCCTGAGTTCCTAATTCCTGGATACTTGCCTGTTAATAAACATCATCAGTGAAACGGACACAGTACTGTGTTCACTCTATATAATACGGCCGATATAACTTGGCAGTCCTGATCTAAGCGCGAAACGCTGCGCAGAAACGTTCTTTAGGATGTTAACGGTGGTAAGAGCGAGAGGCGCGGGATGAAGATCTAGGCTAGTGATTGACTCAATGTCAACACAATCGACCGCTTATTCTATCAAATTTTGTAATTGAATTTTTTATATGATTGTGGATTTTAAATCGTATGAGATATTGTACTGAATGGATTGATGAACACAGTGAATAGTGTTGTTAATAAACAATACCATGATTACCTTTAAAGGAAAATAAAATAATTAAAAAAAAATTTCATTATTGAACCACCTGATTTAGTTAAATCTGAGTTATTATATAATCACTATTTATACCTTCTTAAGGGCTTTTTATAAAATTATATTTTTACGATCCAATTTTATCTATTTCAATAGGAATCGATTAAACGACACTCTCAAGGATCGCGTATGGACATCTCTATTTGGTTCTTTCGTAAAGCTTCGTACATATTCGGTAATGTTCGGTAAACAGTAGTGCGTCTCGTCACTCCTTGGTGTTAATTTCGTTATCTTTGTCTTCAGCGCAGTTCGTTAGAAAAGTGATTATTTATTGTTAAATTTAATATTATTATTTCTCTTTTGTTATACTTTTAGTTTTGTCTCTGTATTTTAGGGGAAGATAAGTGTTCGTAGCCCTTATTCTCTTTGAATCAATTATTGGTATGTTACTTTTGCTTGCTATAGGTAAAATTTTTCATTTACCCCAGTAACGAAAATAAATGGCAGTATTCGTTTTTTTTACGAGTGTACATGCGCGGGGTGGGAACCGAGATTAGATTATTATTTTATAATTTTAGTACATCTAATCAACAGTAAATTTTAATTAAAGAGCAGAATTCTCCTTATAAATCTATTTCTTGTTTTAAAAATTAGGTATACTGTACAGAATGTGCATTGTAATGAAATCATTCATAGAGATTAAAAACTAAAAACGTATATATGAAATCAATTTTAACTTTATGTACGTACATTACGAATGCAAAAGTCTAATATAGACGCTTCTTCAATAGACAAACAGGTTTACAGAATTGAATATACATTTTAATCAAACTGTGTATTGGTTTAGACTGTGTTATAAATTTAACTTGGATCTCAGAGCAAAAAAAATTGTATCTCAGTTTCACCTAAGCGGAAAGTTTCCTAAAAAAAGTTACGATATTATATTTATGAGATTATATAAAAACTGTCTATACATACAGTGGCGCAGAAAGGCGAAATTAGTAGACCTTACGAAGAAGAAATTAATTGAGAATATAGAAATTTTAATGTCTATCTATACCGTGCTATATATTGGTATAGTGATATAGCTCACATTGACTTGTTGACTTGGCGGTCATAAAGGATATTATATTTTACGAGCTAATAACTTAAATGTTAAAGACAATATTTAATTTATTAGCTCGTAGAATATTAGTACATATTTAGATGAAACACGGTCACGGAAGGACACGGCTGCGGGAAAGCATCCCAAACGTCGGATCATACTAAAATTGAAAAAAGTAGCTAACATATCGCGTTTTAAACCGTCAAAAGTGTTTTTTTGTGCACTAATAAATTTATTGTACACAGACTTAACAAGAATGCATGTTTTTTGATAACATAAATAACTCACTCTTCATAAACTTTCTCCTGAACTGTGGGGTACTTGGCTAATAGTTTCAAAGTGTTACAAAGGGTAACTGCAGTAGTATCAGTGCCACCGAATAGGAAGGTCAGGACCTCTTCCCTTAGTTCTATGTCAGTAATATCATCTGTTCTCGATAAGACAATCAGGTTATCAAGAAAACACCTGACTGTTTTGTAGTTTTCACCTGAAAAATTATTTATGCTTCACACCTTATTGAAACTTGAAAATTTTTTGAAGTACGTTTAATGTAATTTAGACGTTAGTGAGTGTGCCTGTAAAACATATTTGAATAATGATTAGATTATTTAATTCTCATTCCTTTTTAATGTTTTATATTGAAACTCGATCATTACTTACCATTTTGTAAGTTCGACGTCTCATCGACAACATCTTCTAATTCTTTTTTTTTCTTTGTATAATCTGCAAAATTAATTAGCAACAATTGGGCTAAGCATAGTTAAAAAAGTCTCAGAATTTGAATCTAAATATGTGTATAATGTCTTGTTTCATGTGAAACGTTGTCTATTTGTCTGTCTCACGCAGCACACACATGTGTATTTTCTTTACTCAAAAATGTACAAAAAGATCGAAACAATTTTGATACACCATTTCATATGAAACGTTTTCTATCTGTTGTCTGTCTTACGCTTCACGCATAGGCGTTTTTTCTGTATTAAAAATAATATGTGAAAGGCCCAAACAATTTTGAGCCCCGTTTCATGTAAAACGGTGTCAGCCTGTTGTAATATTTTGTCTGTATTATGTCTGTTGTCCTGCTCCATACACACGTGTATGATATGTGTAAGACAGACGTTATAACGATTTTTGTGTCACTTTTGTTGATGTATTTTATAAAGGCGTTGTTGATAGACCAACTAAAACTAACAAACTGTAACTGTAACTGTCTTAGACAAACGGTAATATTTCACGAATTTTAGTAAGTCATAATTAAACATATAGTTGTAACTTACTTCATCGGTGAATTCGTATGTGAAATTGCGTGATTTAATGAATTTCGGATAGTCTGTAGTGTACTGGTAAATGAAATCTGGCCAAAGCCAAACTCGAAATAGCCTGTGGGTGACAATCGCTAATAAATTCGTTGTTGCCTTTAAGAATTCTTCCTTCTTAGGACTATTGAACCCGTTTTCGGTAATGCCAAGTGCTGTTTCTAAAATATAAACGTAAAGTTTTTTTAGACCCCAGAATGTTTGAAACAGTAAACGCACTTAAAAGTGCGATAACGACACTTGCAGCTCACTCCTTCTGATTATTTCTATATTCTGTGAAAATCGTGTGTATAATAATGCACATCAGTTTTTTAGACGTAAAAGTACTTTCACAAAATCTTGTAAAAACTTTTTATCTAGAACCTTTGTATATTATAAAACATAAAAACACCCAACTAAATGCTTAAATACTGTCTGTAGTTTACACGAGTAGTACACATTTTGATAAAACACTTTAACGGTTTAAAACGCGATATTTATAAGTTAAACTTATTTGCAAATTATTTTAACTACAGTCCGACGTGTTGGATGCTTTGCAGCCGTGGTCACGGAAAGAGTGGCCAAATTTAATTTATTATATATCGCGTTTTAAACCGTGAAAGTGTTCTATCAAAATGTGTACTACTCGTGTAAACTACAGACAGTATTTGACAAATTTACTGTCATTTTTGTCAATAATTGTAGAAAAAATTACTTTTATTGTAATACAACAGAATAGACATAGAATAGTGTCATGGCTTAAAACAAAACATTTTGAAATTTAGTTTAATTAAATTTTTGAACGTAAATGATTTTTGTAGAGTTTTCCAAGAAAAGAGAATAATAATACATAGAAAAGGTATTCAATATTTGTAATTCGTAATTCTATATTTTTTTATGTATTTATTAAAAACTTCCGTATGCTGAGTTATCGTAAACGGTCGCCGATTTAATATGTATGTACCGTGATACTCTTGTATATCACCTCAACTACTTACCGAACACTGTGTCCAGAGTGTGCGAACTTACATACGACCAAGCTTTGAAAGTGCCAGTGCCAACAAGATTTTCCTTGGAAAAACGCTGTGCTAATTTTTCACATTTCTGTATAAGAATATCTGTGTAACTATTTATAATTTTTGGACTGAAGGCTGGAACTGTTAGTTTTCTGCGACGGACCCAAATGTGAACTGCAAATAAGAAGAAATTTACCCGAAAAACTCTGCAATATTACAATTACAATACAATAATCTAAATTTTGATGTACGCAGAATTGTTGTAAACTATGTTTTTTCTTAAAGAAAAAAAATATATAATTTATTCCGTAAAAGTATTTTTTTTACCTGGTGCAAATATGCCTGAATTTCCTGTAACAGTCTGAAGTAGCCACATGATGTTGGATTTGTCCAAACATTTTCTTAAAACAAATTCCACATCAGTTGGATCTGTCATAGCTAAAATATTATAACACAATTAAGATTATATTACAATACTACAACAAACAATTAATTGTATTAATCATTAAATTAAATATTGACTCATACTCAAAATACCCAAAACGTCGGGCCATAATTAAGACTCGTTTTAAAAACTGTTTTTTGAAGTTTTAATTAATGTATAGAATTTAATAATATACAGAATTCAGAATTAATTTAAGAATTTAGTCTGTGAAATCAACAATAAAAACTGCATTATTTATTGTTACTGTGTAAATACACAGTAGATTAAAACTTTCTTTAGTTTTCGCGAGTAGTACACATTTAAAAACACTTTAACGGTTTAAAACGCGATATATATAAACTTATTTGAAAAGATAACTTACTGTCATTTAATATGGAACAATATGTTAAATTAAATGAATATTAGCTTGAAACATTTTAGTATTCAGATGTCATTAAAATATTAAGAGATAACTAAATGTTTATTAATGAAATCCCCTTTCCCCTCGTGGGGCATGGGGCGAACACATTTCTGTGTCAGTTTTACTTATTGATTTTATTTCCAGGCAAGTTGATCACTTCTTCTGCGCCCTCCCCGACCGAAACAATCTATGGTTTCCTCGGGATTCGAACCCAAGTTCGTGCTTTACGCACAGCTAGGCAACACGTTTAATCATTTAGCTTCAGAGGCGGTCTAAAAGTCCTTAGAGTTGATGATTTACGTCAGTATAAAAAACAATGTGTTTTTGTATTTGTTGAGTAAGATTTTTTCTTATACATTACCCACAAATAGAACTGGTCCAGCCCAAAACTTAATTAGACCACCTTGCTCTATAGCAAACATGCCGAAGCGCTTTATAATATTCATAATATCTGAGAAGAAAGAAACAAATTTTATTACATGTATGTATAAAACGCTTATTTGGTTCCAGTAGTCCTTTTTGTATCTCAAGAAGAGGACATCATAAATACTTTTTTTATTGTATCGTAAATATTTAATGATTTTATTTCAATATTTTGTATAATACGGTATCTCCATGTACTGAATTTAATTATGGGTCAAATATGGGACAACACACACGATATGGGACGACACAGTCTCGTACCCTCGAACTATTAAAAACATTCCTATTACATTTTGCACATGATAGTTTTAAATATTGCTTACGCGTAGCCGTTCACATTTAAATGAAACACGTTAACGGTTTAAACCGCGATATATATTGGTTAATCGCGTTTTAAACCATTAAAAGCTTCACAGCAGCCGTCACGGGGAGACACGGCTGCTGCAAAGCATCCGAAACATCAATCCGTAGTTAAAATAATTTTCAAATAAGTTTTACTAATATATATTGGGATTTAAACTGTTAAAGTGTTTTATGTAAATATGATAGATTTAAATTTTATTTATTTATTTAATTATAAACAATCTACGATTATAGGACAATAAATATCCTTTGCAGTAGAATTACATACATATTTCGTAGAGTGATTTTTGAATTCTAAGCTGCATGTAAAAATGTCGATACCCTTCTGCAGCTTGTTGATAAGTCGCATAGCACCATTAATATAAATTAAATATTTAAGTGATATCACGAAATTAAATTATAATTATGATTTAAGAAGTATGAGATACAATTTAATTTCAATAATTTCAATTCGACTTCGCCCCATAAGTTTAAACTAATGAGAATCACCAAAGCGTGTCTTACGTACTTTGTTTTTCTCTACCCGTCTGCTATCATATTTTAATCTATACTTATATAAGAGTTTAACCGCGCTAATCTTAGGGAGTACTGGTTCAATTTTTTTATGTTCTTTATATACATCGAGATGTATCTAATAGAACCGAGAGAAATATGGAAAAAAATGGGGAAAATTATATATGGTGGCTTTCTGATGCATACGCTACGAAAACTGTTCAAGATACCCAAAAAATATGTAATGAAAGAATATTTTTTTTAAAGGATAAAAAAAATGTCTACGAAGATATATATCTATCTTATTAGACTAAAACAGTTTAACGTTTTAAAACATATAGTTTCGCGCAAAGTTTATTTAACTAGCATAAGTAGCAGTATCTTTAGTGTTTTAAACCGTTAAATTGTTTTATTTAAATGTGTACTCCTCGCGTGAAGTACAGTATTTATCGAATCAGTTACCGATTATACTAGTCAAAGCAATCCCTTACGATTCTACACAAAAAAATATCATGACTTACTGTACGGCAAGTCTTTGAGGTTTATTGTATATTGTAGTGCCCCGATAAACGGGATCGGCATGGGGGCTTCCGGGATAAGGGCAGCCAACTCGTAAAGCCGTCTCCGCTTGCACCTGAAGGATATATAGCACAGCACAAGAGCCACGAATAGTAGAACTGCTATCATCTTGCTTGAAACACAGTTACCAGGCAAATAGCTGAAAAAGTCTGTGCGCTAAGAATATATGATATCGAATCGAATCAAAAAATTATGCGCACGCGGTTTTATTTCGCGGTCCTGGTATCAAGGCCTACTTGGAGCAATATTTTTTGATCCCGACGAAAACGCTATTAAGTCCCTTCTCATACATTGTTGAGAAGGAACTTATTAGCAGAAGTCTGATCAAGTACTTGCCTGAAAATGTGTGCGTGTCCCATAAGGGGAAACTTGATTTCACTTTAATCCCCCCCCCCCCCCTTTTACTAGGGGCATTATGTGTGTTTTCATGAATTTGGAGTCATTGTCCTTCACCGTGGTAAGGATCATCAATCACGGTACATACTTTTATTGTTATAAAGGTCGATGATACCGGTTAGTTGCTAATATATGAAAATTATAAGATTTCAAAAATTAAATGAAACTCGACTATTGAAATTCGATTTTATATTGAAAAAAAAATTACAATACGGACTTAAACCAGTAACCAATTGAGCTACCGTGATCTGACGCGTCATTTTTGGATTTTTTCAACCTCGTCGAAAAAGTCAAAAGTTGTAAAAATAGTCGACAATTTTTTATACTAGAAAGTATTACTTTATATAAAAAGACAAATCATCAATATAATTTAAGACACAAAAAATTATAAACATTCTAACCGTAAATTCGACTGAAATTTGGCCACAGATCAATTCATATATTATTCGCTAATCTCAGGAGCTACTGGTTCGAGTTGAAAAATTCTGTTTGTTAGAGCAACAAATTTTTTGCATTTGGATGCTAAAACACAATCCGGAAGTCTCATCAATGTGACTATTTTCTACTAGTCTATTTGTACTAGTCGCGTAAACTACAGACGGGCAAAACATATTGTTGATTTGTTTTTTGACCACAATGTGACTTTTCGGATGCTTTTTCGTTTAAGAGTGAATTAAGAAAAATGTAAAAGTGTTTTACTTACAAACATTTAATTAAAAAAATATTATATTATAAGATTACTAATTATTGCATGTTTTTTTGCATGCCAAAAATGTTGACAAGACTGTTACTAGCGAATTCCTTACACTACATTAAAATATATCCAAATTAAAAGATAAAAACTTTATTTGGAATTGGATATTGACCTCTTATTATTAATAATAAGATCGAATAAGGTCGCAGCGTCCGAGACCATAACTCAGAAATTACTAGACTTTTTACGAACGAATTGCAAGTGAATATATACTAATATTACAAAGTTTAAGAGTTTTTTTTTTTGAACGCGGTAATCTCGGGTACTACTTGGTTCGTTTATTGAGGAACGCTTTAGGCTATAAAACATCACGTTGCGACCAATACAAGCGAAGAAGCAGTGGGACAAACTAAAGGGAAGTATGGAACAAACGGGGAGACTTATTAATGTTTTAGGGTTTCCGTGCGCATGAATGGTTGAAGATTCCGAAAAAATATGTATGAAAGGATTATTCGTTTAAATAAAACACTTTAACGGTTTAAAACGCGATATATTAGTTAAACTTATTTGAAAAATGATTTTTAACTTCGGCCCGACGTTTCTGATGCTTTGCAACAGCCGTGGTCACGGGGAGACAGGATTATTCGTCTTTAAATAGTCTAAAAAAGTCCCCGGCGTTTTATCTGTATATTTTAGGAATATCTCGCGAAAACCGTTTTTCAAATTTGGTCGAAATACTTCATATAAAGAACGTTTGCCAGGTCAGCTAGCTTGTAATATTTTCAAAATATATGCAGTCGACTACGGTCTTTAGTAATGTGAAATCTCCTTTTCCCCTCGAAGAGCATGGGGCGAACACATGTCTGTGCCCGTTTCACAGGAAAGTAGTTGATCAGACTTCTGACTCCTGCCCTAGAGAAACAATTTACTGTCTCTCCGGAATTCGAATGCAATGCCAGGCAACACGGTTAACCATTTAGGCATCATACTACGGTCTTTACTTACTTAATATTATTAAACAGATAGTATATAAATTGTATATGTATAATCTTATATTATTTTATGTTCTGTACCGACCTTGGTATGGATGGAAAACCTGAATAGGTTTGTGATCCATCTTTTGTTATTTTATTTGTGTTTTTAAATGTATAAATCAAAGTTGCTATAAAATGTAAAACAGCCTTCCATTATAAATATTATATCTATTAATCATACGAAGTTACATAAATAACATTTATTTTATTTTACACTAGCTGTGCCCGCGACTTTGTCCGCTTGGAATAGTGACTTGAATAGAATTTTTAATTAATTAGGCTGTTTATTAATTTATGTAAGGGCGCATTTAGGGCAGCCAATCTATGTTGTAAGTGCTAGTTTGCCGCAACACTCTCACCTCACATCACTCCTACTCTAACTCTCACTCTCATTCCTACACTCACTCTCCCTCCCAATCCCACTCGCACTCCCACTCCCACTCATATTCCCAAAAACAAAAGAAGAAAGTTTCATTGTTCTAGCTTCAAAAACCACGAATTTCCATACAAACTTTCATCCCCTTTTTCAACCCCTATCAACCCTTATTTGGGATTAAACAGTAGCCTTGTCAGGTTCTAAAATATCTATTTAACAAATTTCATTTAAATCAGTTCAGTAGTTTCGGAGTTAAAGCCGGACAGACAGACAGAGTTCCTTTAGCATTTATAATATTATTAAAATCTATAATTTATGTAAATAAAAAAATTTATTCGGCATTTCTATCAATTTGTTAAAAGTAATAAAGTAGTTATAGTGACGTAACTACAATCGTTAGACATATGATCTCGCGATGTTTTTTATAGATATTGATATATGTTATAATATTGTCGAACATTTTTTTGTCCTATCATTAATACTCTTCGCAGCGTATGCGATGAAAAACATTTTATGGCTAATTTTTTTACACCTCCCGTTGGTTTTAATAGAAATTTCTAAAAATTTCTATCGTAGTCTAGTACTAAGTATAGTCCTTTTTACTCAATGATAATTTAGTAGTTTTTGTCTAATGAAAAAAGAATTATTAAAATCGGTCCAGTACTTTTTGAGTTTGTCCGTTACATACAAAACTACAAATCTTTCCTCTTTATAATATTAGCATAGATAGCTGTTTCCCACGATATTCGTATCCCGCCGTACGCGTCCCGTCGTTCGGGTCGTTCTTGGAAGTTAATCTTAAAAGATAGACATATAGCGTCGTGGATTTTTTTAGATCATCTAAAGAGGAATCATTCTTTCATACACAATTTTTAGGTATCTTGAAAAAGGGTTCAAGTCGCAGCGCTCGATAAATGCTCTAACCACCACAAAAATATTTTTTTAATTCGAACCCGTACTTCCTGAGATTACCGCATTCAAACAAACATACAAACTCTTCAGCTTTATATATTAGTATAGATATAGATAACATAATTGCTACCAACATAACATAATAACTAATTACCTTTTCAAAGATAGAAATCTGTGACATGTTTTGAACACGTAACGAAGTAAATTTTACCCGACGGCGGCGAAGGAAGGGTAATGATTTTGTCAGTTTTTGTTTGTTCCACTGTTCTGGATTTGGATAAACTATGTACTTTTGTATGTGTGTGTGTTGTTATGATAGAGTAAGATATACAAGCACGGGGTTCACATGATGGTAGGTGAAAATAACCCAGCCATATAAAGTTACAATAAGATATGCTATCGACCTATTTTTGGCTGTTTGTGTAAATGTGCAAATATTTGGAAACATATGACAAAATATACAGTGATAATCATGCCGCCATTGGTATAAAGATCTTGGTGTGTTAATTAAAAATAAGCGAATGTTCTCGACATTAAAATATGTAAAAAATGCAGTTGCGTACTCTCCAGCAATTAAGTGGATAACTATAAATACATTTTGTATAACCGACGGTTGTCTGAGAGGACAGGTTGACAAGTAATCTGTCAAATTACGTGATCAGATTAATTGCAAAATGACAAGCTAGTTTTTATTAACTCGCTGAGTCCGCGACTTCGTCCGCCCGGAATAGTAATTTTGCAAACAAACTTAACATCTTTATAAATTATATCTGTTATCCACGCGTCGCGTCTTTCTTGAGAGTTAATCTTAAAACATAGGCAACTGTCGCTGATGTTTTTAGATAATTTAAAGAAAATAAGCCTATTACACATATTTCTTGGTTTCTTATAAACGAAAGCCGTGAAAGTTTTTAATATTATTACTATTTTTTCGCTCCTATTAGTCACAGTGTAATGTTATATTATAAAGCCTTGCTCGATAAGTGATAATTAGTAGTTACTAGTAGTTCCTGATGACCGCGTTTAAACAAACAAACAAACTATTCGCCTTTATAATATTAGTATAGATTGATACAAGATAAGATTATATGTTTATAAATAGAACCTCTTAAAGATTACTAAAAATAGATATCTTAAATTAAATAGTTTTACGATCAGAAACAGGAAATATATTTTTAAATAAATTAATAGTAAATTTATAGTAATAAAGTTTTACGCACGTTCGCTTTTTTAGCAAAACTTTTTGTTGAAAACAAAAGTTGACCGACATTTTTAGTATTCCCACGGCCGTGACGTATCAGCGCACTTTCGGATATCATGTATTTACGATGTCAAGGAGAGGTCTGGAGTTTGAATCCTGGGCTTTAATAAAATAATTATTATGAATAAGAATGAATTGTTGGACACTACGATACAGCTTTACCGCTGATAATATTATTGCTGTAGAGTATTACCATTATTTGTGTTGAAACGACATAATTGAATATAAGAATACTTCATATTAATTTAAATAAAACCGGTTTAAAACGCTACGGTCACCAGGGACTGGTCCGACGTAATTAAAGATAATTAATAAACTTCGCATTTTAAACAGTTAAAAGTGCATTGAAATAACATTTTAGATTGAAAAAAAAATAAAACGGATGAGCTTTGAACTATCATCTCAACTTGAAAGAGGCTTTATATGTGGCGGTTT